GTCAGGGTCAGGGTCGTCTACACACACCGTACATCCACATCCGTGTATATATAAAGAAATTAACCCAACTGACATGCCAACACATTCAATAACTAATTTCTTAGCTGACTGACTAGCTAGGTCACAGTAAGATTATGTCAGCTAATCTCACTGCCTTATATAATTAATTAAATGTTGTTAAATTACACATACTTGATGGTCGATATAAAATACTAGTATAATATGTTTATTTTACTCAAATCACAACGTAACATATCTTGGTGTGTGAAAGTACTATCGAAAAATATATGTATTTTATGACGTGAGAATATGTCAAAGTTATTTTTAAGTATATTTTGATCAAACTTAATACATTGCAAATTAAATTTGATAAGGCTAATCATGCTGTAACACCATTATTATTATTATTATTATTATTATTATTATTATTATGATTATTACAGTATTAGGTATAAGGACAATATTAGGTAGACTCAGTTGGTGTTGTTTTTGTAATATACGTATTTGCTACTGCCAACTTTTCCATCACTTCTGAGTGAGTTTGAGAGAGAGATCTGTCTGGATATCGAGGTTACAAAAAGTCACGTATTGTGCGGCGGATCAAAGTTGAAAACGCGCACACATATATGTGTCTGTCTGTAGTGTCTCTGATCGGAGTTTAATTAGTTGGTCCGTTCCGGGGACCAAAGCTAATGGTGGATTTGTTTGATAGTGTTTTGGAATGGAATCAAATTGACTCTCCTTCTGTCGCCTTCCAATCCCCTCTCTCTCTCTCTCTCTCTCTCTCTCTCTCTCTGCAAAGTCCACTCATTACCCCTGCTGCTCTGCTACCCTCCATCTCCATCTCCATCTCCTAAAACCGCTCTATATATATATCCATCATTTACTAATTTATTTATTGTGTATTATACATACATATCTTAATTATTCTGTTCATGCACCCATTCTGCTCTTTCGTCAAATCCAAACTTCTGACCACAATCGAACTAACAAGATCGAATTTTGTATTATTATGCGAAACAATAAATACAGAGAAAAAGAAAAAATGGAAAGCCAGTTTTGATCCATCCTTCTGAATGTGTAACTGACTGAATCAACTGTTCTAATAATCAACAATTAATTTAGTAATCTTCTAGTCATATATATGATTCTTCATAAAAGTTTAGATATAATAATATTGAGGATTGTATATTTAATCGATAATACAAATAAAATATAACAAGTGTATATTTAGCATATATAATTAAATAAAATAGTATGCATGAGAGCGAACATACTAATTAACATTACTCAATCAACTTGTCCATTAGACCGGCGGCATTTAATTTAAAACTAAAGTACACAATATTAATTTAATTGTATCATTTTTATTTTTTTTAAATTTTTCGTCTCTGATGTGAATAAAAATTTACAAAGCGGCACAGCCCATCAACCATAAAGTCTGGCTGGCTAAAAAGCCCATTAAATTATGTACTTACAGTAGCCCATACTCCCATATGATATGATCTTTCGTACTATAAAGAGATTGGGCCTCATCCGTACAAAGTATTGTCATTCGTTTGTTTGAATTTTCCAACAATTTGTATGTTACTTCCGGAAACCAACAAGACTCAGATTGGTTATAAAAATAAATTATGCTTGGGTGTTCAATTTATTGTCATCTCTCTTAAAAATAAAAAATAAATAAATTTAAAAGAATATGCCAAATTTATTTTGTATATTTCTCTAAACATATACTCTCTATCTTGTAAAAGTATACATATTTTACCATTTTAGTGGTGCTTAATAAAAAGTACAATTATTACCAAATCTATATCAATTATTTTTTTTCATCAATTTTATACAAATGTCACTTATAAATCTCACATTATTCTTATACAATTCAAAATTTTTATTACTAACTATATAAAATTTAAATTTTATCCTACAATAAGAGCACAAATAATATTAAAATATTATTTTTTAAATTTCTATGTCAAATTTTTTTAGCTATTATCATATCTAAATTTATTTGTTTTTTCTCTATAGTAAAACATAGGGGTACTTTTATTTATTTTTTAGTAAAAAAATATATTATAATCAAATTTCTAATATCTACAAATAGTACCAATTTAAAACCTTTTTATTTATATTTCTCTTCAATAAACAAATATTTTTATTTATATTTAAAACTCTTTATTTTTTATAAAATTACTTTTAAGTTTATTATAAAAAAATAAATATATTACTCTCTCTGTCCCACTTACCATATCCAAGTTGTCGTTTCTGTCCCACATCTCATGTGACTTTCCTTTTTTTTTAAAATGATTATCCATCTTAATCTCATTTTAAGTTTTCTAATTTATTTATTTAATTTTAATTAAACTAATTAGTTATTTTAATCTTAATCTATAATAATTTATATTATATGTTAATTATTTTTACTAATACATTCTTAATTATCTACTAATTATACTTATCCTAAATTCTCGTATCTACCGTAACCAAGACACCTAATTTGGGACGGAAAGAGTATTTATTTGTATTATATAAAATTTTATTATTTACAAAATAATATTAATATTGTATATATTTTATTGTGATATAGTGCTAAAAATATTTAAATTTCTAACAACTCCACTCATCTAAAAAAATAATAAAATAGTATTATAACTTATTATTAATAAGTTACTAATTTATACTATCTAAAATTTCATGTTATCTGACCTGAATGGAGTATTATTTTTGTATTTTTTTTATTAAAAATAGAGAAAAACATTCATATTAAAACTTGTATTAAAAAATTTGAGTACGTATATATTTTTATGAGGTAGAAATTCAATTGTTATTATTTGAGTGTGTTTTGAATAAATTTCTAACTAAATCTAATATTTTGCAAATTAGACCAGGAAAACAAATTTTGTACATATATAGTTGAATGGTAGAAAAAAATAAATTTCAACAATTATGTTATTTAAAATTTTTTTTTTATAGAAAACACGCAAAATACACATCCACACGAAACAAACAAGCACACTCTCATTTTGCTACAAAATATTATATTAAAAATAATATATTGTATACAATATTACATGATATATATGTAGAGAATACATTATTATTGTAATATTATAATATGCACATACATAGAATACATACATAAAATCCAAAATGTGTAGTATATTAAAATAAATTGCAGAGAGAGGTCAGGTGTGAGTGTGAATGAACTAGAAAGGAAAAGGAAAAGGAATAATTCCTGACTCCAACTGCTATTAATAGACATCGGCAAGAAAGCATCAATTATAAAGTCGCACATAAGACATCTCGTAGTCACTCACAACTTTAGGACAAAATTTTTCTCTTTACTTTTTTCAAGAAAAATCGGACCCTAGTTTTCTGCATATATATATATATATATATATATTTCCTTCTAAGCCCTTAATTTAAAAATAAAACAAAACAAAATTCATTAATATATATGGGACCTCAACCTCAATTTGCCGACTATGGCTGTCTAACATATATACTATCAAACTTCTTTCTGTAGCACAAACATATATACATATATATTTCTCATAGTATATAAATTAAACTAGGTGGGTTGGGTAGGTAGGTAGATTTGTAATTACCATTTTTAGGGCAGCATAGTCAGGTATTTACTAATTATAGTACGTATGATGAGTAGTAAAGCAGTGCCACATGGAACAAATCCAAATAATAAAATTATTACATGCAGTTCGAAACAAGCTAGCTAGGGTCTCAAATTCAGTGGGCGTAAAAACCTAAACCAGCAGTTGTAGTTTTTCTGCAATAATAATAATAATGATGATAAAGGAAGCCATTTTCTTTTAAAATAAAATAAAATAAATTTATTATTTATTTGTTTTTTTCGTAAAAGAAGCTAATTAAGGGTGTGTGTTGGAGGAGAAAGGGTCCCTAGCTTCCGGGCGGGCTTAGGTGCCACTTTCTAACTGCAGTTTAACAATAATTATAATATATAGATGCATTAATTTCCTGATCTACAGTACAAATACAATAGTAATGATTCATCAGTATCAGTAGGCAGTAGATTTTACAAAAAGATTGTGGACTCGCTCGCTCGCTCACTCACTCACTCGGTGTCTCCAAATTTAGTTTCTCTTCTCTGAATTTGCTTGCTTGCTTGCTTTATTGTTTCAGAGATGACATCACAAGCATCGAACAATGCACTAGTACAGGTTGGATTCTTACATACAAACCTGCCCGACCGGGAGCGAGAGACTAAGACTAGTGTATAGAGAATTCTAGCTACCTAGGCTCCCACCGCTCACTCACTATATATAGAATTAATTAATTAATTAATTACTTCCAATACTTTCTTATTTTTACATTCACTCTCGTCTGATAGAATTAACCTGATATATATATATATATATATATCTTCTCTTACTGATCATCAAGTGATTAATTATAGCTAGCTGATTAGAACCTACCTCCTCTTATATTTATAATCTGATTAGAGCTAGCTAAAATGACACCCCGGCCAGCCCAACTCCCAACTCAACTGATGCATGTACTCATCAACACTTCTGTAATAGTAATAAATAAAAACCCTAGAACCTGTAGCAGCCATGAAATTGAAATGCAATGCGTTTGTCATATCGGTCCGGCCCTTACAGCAATTGAATCTACCTAAACCTAACCACCAATTTCTAATTAAAGAATTAGATGGCTAGTTTGGTGCAAATTTCTAATCCATAAGGAGTTACTACTTATTTTGCGTCAAAAACCATTAATTGCTAGATTCCTTACAGCCGATTTTGGGGTGGACTTGCGTTAAAAAATAAAAAATAAAAAAAAAAAAAAAAAACCGGTTCGAGTTGCCCTAGCTAGTTACCACGTATGACGTCACACCTACGTCAGCGTGGTAATCCTCTCCTCACGCCACTCCCCCACCCACCCACCCCAGGCCATCCCTAATTTTGCTAATAAATAGGGCCCTTCGTTCCTACATTTCCTTTCATAATTAACAACATCCTTCTTCCCTAGCTAGGTCGTCTGGCGACGATGAGTTGCAATGGGTGCAGGGTCCTCCGAAAGGGGTGTGTGGAAGGCTGTGTCCTGAGGCCCAGCCTTGTGTGGATACGAGGTCCAGAGGCACAGGCCAACGCCACCCTCTTTCTCGCCAAATTCTATGGCCGCGCCGGTCTCATCAACCTCATCAAGGCCGGAACCCCGCCTCTCCGCCCGGGTATGCATGGAGGATGATGCTACCTTAACTAATTGAATATATATATATAATTCCCACAATAATTAAAACTGATTTATTGAATTGGATTGAATTGAACCACGCGAGTGAGTGAGTTTTTAGGGATTTGTACAGATAAACTGATCTAATAATCATTGTGTGTCAGATTTGTCCGCAGAAATTTTCAAGTCCCTCCTGTACGATGCCTGCGGACGGGTCATCAACCCCGTTTTCGGGGCCACCGGCCTGACCTGGTCGGGCAACTGGAGATGGATAGAGGGGGCGGTGGACGCGGTGCTGCGGGGGGCGCCCCTCTTGACCCCCCCCCAGCCCCAACTACCAGCTGCCCTGCAGCAGCTGGCCTGCTACGTCCCTTTCCGCGGCTGCGACATCCGCCGGATCTCCAGGTACTCGGTGCCACCCTCCACCACCAGCAGCATCAGCAGGCCCCGGGTGAATCAACGCAACCGCCGGGAGATCCAACCGGCGGGCTGGGGAGATGACCTGACGGATCTGCCGGATGAGTGGCTCACGCTTGGGTGTCCGAGCGGCGGCGACGCCGGCCAGAGTAGTAGCAGCGTAGCCGGAGGCGGGGGCGCAGGCAGCCAGCTGATTGCGTGGAGGGATGATAGTTGGGGTTCATTCCCCGCCGAGATGCTGGAGCTGTCTCTAGCTCCGTCATCCAACCCCGATCCAAGCGGGGCGTGGCTGGATCTGACCTTGGGTCTCAATCCGTCAGCGGGCGTTCCACGGAACCGCCACTGAGGGAAGAAAACCCTAGTTTTGGGTTTGCAGCCATGGATCAATTTGAATACCTAGTTTCTCTGTTTATGTGCTTTTAATATATATCCATATATATATCTAATATGCTTTAATTTTCTTGCATGATGTTCAATTTTGCCGTGAACATCTATATGTATTGTATGTCTTGGTTGCTGTAATAATATATTTCTTACTTCCTATATATCTCCTGTTAATTAATTTTTGGTGCTTGAAGAAGATGATGAAGAAAAAACTATATAACCAACCGCATAAAATTAAACAATCGATTCATACATTACAATCATCAAATTAAAAACATTAATCTATTTCTATGACGAGAATAAACGTGAAACTTTTTGTCGAATCAATCTTGAATGGGGGCAAGAATTGGCTGTGAAACAGCATCCATTAATTCACAGAATTATTTTCTTCATTCGTTCCAAGGGTTTTTTTTTTTTTTTTTTTGTTTCATTCATTCGAAAGGTTTTTCTCAGTTGGATGCACGAATTTGTTTTATTGTACTGTTCTTGAAATTAAATTTCCAGTAATGTGTATATTTTGGCCTAATCCATACCCACCTGGGCGCCTTCATATCATTTACTTCTGTCATATTAGGGGATATAATCGAAAACCAGCTTTAATTGATATTGGTAAAGGCATAATTGAACAAGAGACAACGTAAATTAATTATATTATGAATTCAGCTATATCTTTTTTAAAAAACAGTCAGCCGTTTAGATTTTGTAAATATTATTATTTCTGAGTTGTTATTTGAATAGTGTTTTTGAATTTCAATTTATAATATTGTTACATTTAGAATTTCACAATTGAATTTCAAAAATTTTGTAATATAACTGTTCTTATTACATTGTTGATATATTGTTTTTGGCAAGGAACATAACAATAGTAACTAATTAATCATTGCCTTTAGATATAAAAAATTAAATCCATTAAAAGAAAAAAAAAAAACAAAAATCTACATATTATTTTGAAATTTATATTTATGTAGGTATGCCGGGATTTTTAAACAATACTTGTTCAAATACATCGCACTATATGTTCCTTCGTTTTCTTCGTTAGAAATCTATTTTACACGTGTCACCTAATAATAGTTTTTATTTTTGATATAGATCTCCAATTTTTTCGGATAACACGACAAACAATTATATTTTTCATAATGTCTGCACACATTAATGGAAGTATAAAAGATAGTTGTTTATAAAAAAAAAAATTAGTTTCCATTTTATCTTGTAAAGTATTAATTGGTCGTTCTTTGTTTTGTAAAAGTACTAATTTGTCGTGTTTCGCATTTTATAACTAGTTTATCTTGTATTTATTTAAAAGTATTACTTTGTCGTATTTTGCATTTTATTTTGTAAAGTACTAATTTATCGTGTTGTGTATTGTTAGTAATCAATGTTGCCGCAATTATATGAGATCATTTATACAATTAAATTGAGTTTTAATTATGTAGTGTTAAAGTGATCATGTTAAATCCAAGAAGATGTTGAGTTCTAATTAAATTGAGACTCATTCATTTAACTTCTACACAAGTATAGAATAAAAGAATACCTGTATGCAATTTTTTTTTTTTTTTTTTTATGGTTATAATATATTCACTAAATGAATGTTTTGAATATTATATATCTATGTTACTTATTCATGTTATAGAAGTGAAACTTTTTCAATATATATTATACCTAAGCTTCTCAATATTTGGAGACCACCAAAATCAATATGTTGAACTTAAGTCTTCAACTTTATAATTCCTCATTTTCATTATATTATTATACATATGAATCAAACGATCTAGTTAAAATGAAAAACCATATTCCATCTTAAAAAATGGTGCCACACCTAAAAATATATTTAGGATAATTTAGCAAAAACATGACTCTATATTACTTTTGTTTTTATTGTTTTTTCTTGAAATTTACATCTAGTAATTTAATTTAACATCTAATCATTTTCAACAATTATATTTTTATTATTTTGTTTGTATCATTTAAAAAAAAATAAAAATTGTTCATATCTTTTTAGTTTGACTACCTTATTTTTCCCTTATAGATTAATTATTTGAAAAATACTCTCTTCGTCCCTCAATTTGACACCTAAAAAATATTAGAATTCTCCGAAATATTTCACCTAAAAAACATTAAAATTGAAAAGTATTTTGGAGGGTAGTAATATTTTGACACAATAAAAGAATATTTTTGTTAATATCCATACCAAATGAATAGTCGTGATTTTTTGACTTGGACCAAAACCAGACAAACCCGAAAATTCATTCTTACCTTACTTCAATGGTTGAAATTAATATTAGTGGATAAAATATAAAATTGTAAAGATGTTGATGGGCCAAACACTTTTAATAAAATAACTTGTACGAATAAGTTCCGATCCACGTCCATACATGTGATATTCATTTACATTAATAAAGAAAATAAATAAAAACAGACTAATAATATCTTTTCCACGACCTTGGGATAACATAAATTTATTGGTACAGTAAATAATCACTTTCCTAATTCCATGCATGTACCTATGCAGTGTTATAGAAATATTTAATGAAATTAAATGAATGAGTGGGCTTGTGAAATGGAGGAGTAAATCTAAACCTAAACCTAAAATAGTGATTAATGTTTGATTAAACATACATATATACAATATCGATTGCATGCCTCACTCTCACATATACATTATTTTTATTATGTTATACACCAACAAGTTTGTTGGAATATATACACATTATATTGTCCCATCAAGACTTTCACACTGGTATATGTCTAGACAGAATCCATGCTGTTAATTGTTCAATAATAATCCCATCAGACAGTTATTATTTATTAAACCTAGCTAGGATCCTGATTCGTAGTGAATATTGTTTACTTGGCCACACCCGCAGATATAATTCTTCCTAGGATCAGCCATTCATTCTTCTCTACTCGTACTCATACTCATGTCCTGAAAAAAACCTGTTGGCTATAATTATACAGACCTGACAATGATACGAAAGCCATTGCCTGCCTGTGATTGGGGGCCCATTTCAGACTAATAAATTTTCATTCAAAGCAATTGGGCCTCAGCCCAACTGTGCTGTGATGTGCAACTGCATCATGCATCCGTCATACAAATTAATTTGAAAGAGAGTATGACTATGTGGAGTGGAGTGGAGTGATGAATCATCACAATTAATTAATTAATTAATTAATTAAAGATGGTGTTTTGACGAACCTGCCCTTGATCCGCGGTCTCTTCTCAGCGTTCAACTTCCTGACTTGATACCTGATTTTCTTGGAAAACAACCTCGTCCGTCGCTTGTCCCTGTACCTCATCACTCTTGCTTCTCTTTCTCTTTGTCCTCTGCACCCCACGTCACTACTTCCACAAATGCCCCGCACCTGCTGCATCCACGCATTCCCAATTAACTTGATTATTTGGAAATGAATTATGCATGCATCCGTGGACGAGGACTAATAAGAATTAACAGAAGAATGCAGACCGTACGTACCAAGCATAATGGCCAGCTGCTGCATTGGTCAATCGTGGACGACAGCCTCAAATCATAATCAGCTTCAGCTGGCCGTTCTCCGGTCATCCATGGAGACTTCCGACCGTCCCAAGCCGACAACACGCCCCTGTAGTCAAGTCTCAGAGAGATGCAGATCTGCTTCGACATCATCATCTTAATGTCGTCGTCCTCATCCTCATCGCATGATCCCTTATAATTATTATTAATCAATGTCGCCCCTCTCTCGACCAATGTGGCATGCAGGTCGAATTCACTACTTGCTGCTGCATCACTCATCATGTCATTGCCCTCTCCAACTTTTACAGCTCCTTCATTAATAATCGACAGCTGCAGCTTCCTTGATTCTAATTCTGTCTCTGAAACCCCCAACCCTTTTATGTCAGACTCAAAGTCAAAGTCAAACCACTCATCTTCCGGGTCGCCTCCAAACAAACTCTCGAAATCGACTGCACCAAATCCAGCCACATTCATTTCCTGCAGCCCAAATACAGGCCCAGGCCCAATCGCAATTTCTTCATCGGGCCCGGGCCCAAGCTGATTAGTATGATTGGACAGCACCGGAACCTGATGCAGAAGCTGCTGCTCATCGCCACAATAATAGGAGTATTCTTCACTACTGCAAACTACTTCCGGCACCCGCAGGCTGGAAGAATGATGGATTCTGCTGCTGGCAGGCAATTGCAATTCCTCAGAACTTGAACTAGTATGCTTCTTCAGCTTTGGTGTTCGGGCTTTCCTAGTGACCCCATGATGCCATGACGGTACAGCAACACCAGACATATGGAGTTGTTCATCTTCATCTTCATCATCATCATCATCATCATCACTGGAGATGGACCTGATCATCATGGATCCCATTGTTGTTGTTGTTGTTGTCGTCAGGCGGACCCTTTCGTGCCTCCTGGCTAAGGAATTTGCAGAGTGAACCGATGCATCGCAAGATTGGCACAGGAATGCATCATCTCCGGCGCAGTACCATCGGGCCCTTTTCCTTACACAGTTATCGCAAGCTCGTCTTGATACTCCGCCAACAACAACGTTTGCCATGATTCTTCGGTCCGAGGAAACCATGGAACCAAACTAAATTAATTCCAAGGAAATAGATAAGACATTAATTTGTATCAAATTGATCAAGGGTCTTGCAAGATATATATATATATATGTATATATGTGTTTGTGGGGTGAGACCACCAGTGACCTGACCTGACCCACAACATGCACTTTAGACTTTTGCGGAACTTTTTGGTTTGGCCGCGTTTGAAGTAGTGGGGCTTGTCACGGGCATGGGAATGCTCTTTTTGGACCTGAAATGGGGTCTCTCCCTCTATCTGTTATTTCATTGGATGCACAGAAATTTTGATCCTTATTCCTAGCTGCTGATTGGCTGGATGTCTGATTGATTGATTGATTATGAACGGGAGGGATATAATTGATTGTCAATGTTCTTACATGCTGGTGCTAACTATCCATTCCATTCCTGTCGCAATTTCTCGCTTCTGGAATCCGATGGAAACTCCTTTTTTTTGAATCATTGCCTTTTCTTGATACATACATACATATATGTTATAGATATTTTTCCAGCTGACAACTCTGGAATTTGGTCCAGTTTATTTGTCAATCATACTGCCCTGACCCTGACCAGACCTAGGATTTTCACAGCTGCAGCTAGCAGCATATTCCTACATATGCCAATTCCCATGCCCATAACAAAATATCCAACACTTTCTCTCTCGACATGGTCCACTACTATTGTCTGATCCGTGTGACCCCATCTGTCAGATTCAAACATATATGCTCAAGTGTACGAACGGAAACAAAATCATTATTGCACGAATCATTTTCCATATTTGATTAATTAATTCCATCTCTGATATTTCTGTGTTTCCAGCTGCATATATATCTATACAGCAAGTTATGCAGCCTAGATTGCAGAATGGAGGTAGCTGCGTGGTCGGGCATATTAATTAATTATATTATTTGATTGCTACAAAGATGGATGTATGGATGGAAATGGTTGTTTTTGTTCATTTGGCTCCGGATTTGAACTTTTACTACTCACAATGGCATGATATGATATGATATGTTTAAAATTAGTTAAAAACTATTTAATAAGCAACTAATTGTATATATATCTGTTAAAAAAAAAAGAATAAATAATAATTTTCAATCAAATTAATATGGCGTGGCGCTCAATGTATGATGGGCTGGCTTATTTGAAAATATATATATATATATATAATAATTTGCAACATTTTGTGTATGATGTTTACTTGAGTTGTATTGGGCCTTGTGGATGTGGAAGCGGAAGCTCAATTTTGTGGCCCAATAACTTGGAAAGCAGTCAAAAGGCCAGGCTGGCCGTATGGAAGAATGAATCTCTTTCAATTCAGGCAGAGGCAGCTGAGCTGAGTGACGCCTACTTCGCCTCTATGGCACTAGAATAAATTTTGACTTGAAGAATTCATTCTCAGTTCTGTTGCATGGCATATTTATTCCCATCTGGCATCTGGCCCCCAATACAGATATATTTATATTGCTGTCATGTGTATGCGTATGTATGTGCGTGTATATGGCTATTGATTAGATTATGGCTTCCCAGTGCATATACGTACATACATACATACAGCTCATACAGATACAGATCCAACACTTGGTACCCTGTCTGTCTCTCTGTCTGTCGGTCGGTCTTCGCGCGCCCCGTAAGTCTCAATTTCATATTTATATATAAAACTATTGTGGTTAATAATAATATTACGCATAGGAAGTTTGGTGCACCTATGGAGCTAGCGAGCCTATTATATATATATATTAGTTACGCAGTTTATTAAATACTTTGGCAACTCCATGTATAGTAATTAATTAATTAGCTAGGGCTCAATTCATCGGGTATTTCCAAGAGTAATTATAGTAACTATGATATATGAATGAATTTGACAGCACTGAACAACAAGTTCAAAAATGAGAGATGATGGAGTCGGCAAATTACTATTTCACTATTTGATTGATGAGATAACCTTCAACCATTAATGCATGTAACATACATACATACTTGTGATGATTCCGTCTTCAACTGTGAACCTTAATTATATATTGCACAACAATTCTGCTATCTGAATCTGACTATACTCAGATTTTGTGGGTGCTCCTGTGCTGTATTCAATTCTTGCTACCTACAGGGGATTGACAACCCTCTTTACTCAAAATTATGCACATTTGAATGACCACGTATTATAAAAATAAAATAAAATATATATGTATAGTAAATAAAAATAGAAAAAATAATAATTTTTTATTAAAAAGATAAATGGGAATAATTTTTATTAACAAACAAAAAAAGACATATTTAGATGATAAGAGTAAATTACAAAAACAATTGTCACTAATTTGGGGGGGGGGGGGGAGTACTAATTAATTACTTCACGGAATAATTCGTGTCTAAGTGTCTGTTTCGATCAGATCTGTGCTCATTCGGTCACAAAGTCAGTATGGTGCTGATTTGCACATACTTCAATGTATGCAAAATTATAATATAGATACTTATAAATATATATTAATTACATGTACATCATATGTTAATCCGATCAAATCAACACCAATTTATCACCCCGGAAAGAGCTGATTCATGTCCATTGTTTCTTTCTGATTTTTTAAATTTATAAAATTTCTTTATAAATATAATACACAACGTTCAAATTTTTAATTAAAATATTGTATCCAACTGGAGTATTATTTTAATTTAGATATATCTCTTAAAAAAAAAGAACTAACTAATTACTACACTAGGGTAGGGTAGGTACTAGGTGATCTACACATAATACTTTCGGTTGCATCGTATATAACTTGGAAATGAGCAGTACCTATGACATCGTATATTTGTATTTTATAAAATATAATGATGATGATGATAATAATAATAATAATAATACAGTAATAACTAAGAAAAGGGCAGTACCTATGACATTTTATAATTATATATTGAAAATTTAAATTAAATTATAGTATGATAGGGATTATGGCTTCCCTAACCTAAGTTGGTGAGGATATTATATTCCACTAGGCCGGATCATCTTCTACGAGCTGGCTTCAAACTTCAATTAGTTAGGGTTTGTTTGCGCGCTGGGTTCCATCGATTAAATTAGGTCGCATTATTTATTTTATTAATTTATTACATTAAATATATTTTTTAAAATATTTTTCATTCAAAATACCATATCAAATATTTATTTATATTTTATTAAAAATTATTTAACTCAAAATTATTACTACTCTAGCTAGGAAATTATCATCAGTCGTCTCTCACTTGACTAAATTCTATATGTATTTTGAAAAAATCTAAAAGTAATACATTAACATTTAAAGCATAATTATGTACGTACTAAAGATCATTACAACTAAGATGACACATTTAAACAAACATTACCATTGTATTATAACGTATGAGACTGATGGATAAAATTTATAAAATATTGATAGATTTCCATGAATTTTTCTAATATATGTTTTTATTAAATAAATAAAAATATCTTAAAAATCACCCTATAGATTAGAATGAAAATTAATAAAAGAATAGTAATAAATATGAATAGATAATAAAATCGTACAAAGTATGTGATAAAGATAAAGCAATGAAAATTATAATTGAAAAGGCAAGAGTTAGAATTAATTATAGGTGGGTGCTAAAAAGTGGTCTTAATGCGAGGCCGGCCCGGTTCATTAATCATCTCAGCTGCCACACCACAGCCACTCTCACTCACTGCCTCACTCTTTATAATCCTCCCTCCTTCCTGCATTCACCTGCAAATTAAATTAAGTTCCCCCAATTTTTCACCATGCCTACTTCTTCTTCTTCTTCTTCTTCATCCCTCCCACATTTTTCCAAATCAGTGAAGCTCAAGTATGTCAAATTGGGGTATCAGTATCTCGTGAACAACTTCCTCTCCCTCCTCCTCGTGCCCATCATGCTCGCACTTGGAATCCAGGTCTTCCAGGCCGGCCCCGACAAACTCCTCCGCCTCTACAGAGATTCCATGAATTTGACCTCACTCCAGATCATCTGCTGCCTCTTCATCATCGTTTACGCCCTAACCCTTTTCATCGTGTCCAGGCCCCGCACAATCTACCTCGTCGACTATGCCCTGTTCAAGCCCCCCAGGAGCTTCCGGGTTTCATTCGCCGGCTTCATGGAGCACGCCAAAATGGCGCTCTTCACGGAGCCCAAGAGTGTGCATTTCCAGATGAAGATCCTTGAGCGCTCGGGGCTCGGGGAGGAGACGTGCTTGCCCCCTGCTCTCCGCTACATCCCTCCCTCGCCGACCATGGCGCTCGCCAGGGAAGAGGCGGAGATGGTCATCTTCTCCTGTATGGATTCCCTGTTCCAGAAGACCGGCCTGAAGCCCAAAGACGTCGACATTCTGGTGCTCAACTGCAGCCTGTTTTCGCCGACGCCGTCCCTGACGGCGATGGTGATCAACAAGTACAAGATGAGAAGCAACATCAAGAGCTTCAACCTGTCCGGGATGGGATGCAGCGCCGGCCTCATATCCATCGATTTGGCCGCCGACCTTCTCCGCCACCACCCCAACTCCAATGCCGTCGTCATCAGCACCGAAATCCTCACCCCGAACAGCTACATGGGGAAGGAACGAGCCATGCTCCTCCCCAACTGCCTCTTCAGAATGGGCGGCGCCGCCATTCTGCTCTCCAATCGCCGCGCCGACAGCCGCCGCGCCAAGTACCGGCTGTCGCATATCGTCCGGACCCACAAGGGCGGAGACGATAAATCATACCGATGCATAGCGCAGGAGGAGGATCCAGATGGCCACGTGGGGATCAAACTGAACATCGATTTAATGGCGATCGCAGGGGAGGCGTTGAAATCGAACATAACCACAATCGGGCCCCTCGTCCTCCCGGCATCGGAGCAGCTCCTCTTCGCCTTCTCCCTGATCGGACGGAAAATCATCAACGCAAAGTGGAAGCCATACATCCCGGACTTCAAGCAGGCGTTCGAGCACTTCTGCATCCACGCCGGCGGGAGGGCGGTGATCGACGAGCTGCAGAAAAGCCTGGATCTGACGGAGGAGCACGTGGAGGCGTCGAGGATGGCGCTGCACCGGTTCGGGAACACGTCATCGTCGTCGCTGTGGTACGAGCTGAGCTACATCGAGTCCAAGGGGAGGATGAAGAGAGGAGACAGGGTGTGGCAGATAGGGTTCGGGAGTGGGTTCAAGTGCAACAGCGCCGTCTGGAAGTGCAACCGCACCATTAAGACGCCCGTCGAGGGGCCCTGGGCGGACTGCATCCACAACTATCCCGTTCACATCCCCGAAGTCGTCAAGCTTTGATTTGATTTGATTTGACTTGACTCGATCGATTCTTACTTTTTTATTTATTGTTACCACAATTTTATCTTGTCAATCTTAAAATTTCTCTTAAAAGAATTATGTCCAATAAAATGTAATATTCTCTCAAGGGGAGGGGAGTAGTACGTTCCAGAGTTTATAGTGACATGATTGTGATTGTGATTGTGATTATGTACACATGATGAGTAAGTCAAAGTGCTGTGGACTCTCTGCAGCAAATTACATTTATTAGTATTGCGGTACCAATTGTGTGAATTAATGTATTGCCAATGCGTGACGACGACGATACATGTATGAGAAATTTTTATGCTGTCCATGAATAATAATAATAATAATAATAATAATAGCTATATATTAGGAGAGGAGGAGGAGGAGGAGGAGGAGAAGCTGCTAGTCTATCTGGCATGAGCATCAAAGTGAGCAGAGGTTGAGAATGAAATGTCTCCGGAAATGCAAATTGCAAAGCACCCAGTCTCAGGTCGTCATCACTTACCTTGTTACCTCTTTAAGGCATGCCGTTGCACTCACCTGGCCTTATGTCCACCATAGCCTAGCTCACATATACAATTAAATACTCCTTGTTAAACTGGTGTTCAATATTCATCTACCAATTTTATTATCTCTACTTTAATATACAATAATAATTATTTTTATTTATTCTTTAATAAAGTTTCTATAATTCTCATACTTTTATTTTTTTTTTACTGTATTTTTATATTACAATATTATTATTTTTAAATTTTCGTGTCCACGCCAAATAGTATAAACACCAAGGATGGAAGGAGTAAAAGTTTGGGCATGTTTGTTCAAGTTTTGTATCCAGTGTGGCATTACTTATTATTGTTTTGTTTAAAAGTATTTAACTATTTTATAATAGTATAATATTTTATTAAAAATAGACTTTCATTTAACAATAATCTTATCAAATATCCATTTACACTAGTTCAAAAATATTAATTCAATTTAAAATTTTACTATATGTATAGATAAATAAATTGTAGTATGATCTAACATACCCTCGGTGACCCAAATAGGAGGAATCTCCAAATTAATGAAAAGATACTGACAAGGATTTTATACAAATGTTGGTGATTCTACAACATATGCATATGCATATCCATATTCATACCCATACCCGTGCCCGTGCCCGTACCCATATCCAATATCCATGTGGGTCATTACTCCTCGCCACCTACCCTAAGGAGCTAGGCAACCCAAATTAGGTGCGCTGGAATACGATCCAACTAAATGAGGCAAACCGGCCGGCAAGCGCTAGCTAGCTAATTAGCTGCAGCGGGTCATAATTATGTTTACATTACATACGTACATTCAACAACGCACCCGACCCCGACCTATAGATATTTGATTTGATGACCGACCGTGTGGATGATGCAACTCTACTGTACAATAAATATTAATATTAATGTGGTACATGATAAAAAGGGATGAAATTAAATCAATCATAAAATTTGTTTGTTGACTACATGGTGTGTAAAGGTGAGTATTCCTACTCATTTAAATTTTTAAATATGGTATCGGAATCATAATACCGGTACTTGGTATTGATTCTTGCCAAAATTTTGAAATAATATCATACCCATAGTTTATAAAAATAAAGAATTTTTCACTTAGTACTACTTGTTGATTTTCATTTATTGATAAATAAATAATTCCTATCCTTAATAACTTAACCTTTTTAGGCAAAAGGGTGACTATGAGATAAGAAATGAGAATCTCAAATGGGATGAAATGGGAGAGAGAACGATGATATATACCAAAAGACTTTTGAGTGGAAGTTGGGTGCCTACAGCTAAATAGGTAATTACTGTACTACCATGATCGTCAGCATCAACTACCCTTGGCCTTAGCCTCGCAGAGTTGCAGGTTGGGTGCCCAGGGAGACAGGCACAGCTGTACTATATATGCATCTACATCCATACGTTTTTCCATAACTAATTAAACAAAGTGGCAAAGTATATATATGTCTGCATGTATGTATTGTATGTATGTGCAGTGCAGGGCAGGGGCAGGCAAGGTGTCGTAACAGGGTAAGAGCAGTGCGTCGGGCCATATCCGTAATCTGTTTGATCACACTCGGTGGCATGCAAGTTGCCCGCCTCGTATATATATATATATAATATGATGTGGAGAGAGAAAGAAAAAGTTGTTCAAGCTCCAACTTAATTAGAGAAATGATTCCTACAACTTGTTTTTTTAATCAGATTGTTACGTTTCGTGCTTCCTTAATTACATGGTTGAGAGAATCTTTTTTTAGCATACACTGTGTGGATAATTGACATATTCAGTTTCAGAGGTGTGGAATGTGAGACAATATTCAACACTGCTTCTTTAAGATGATAATCTTGAAAATTCAATCAATACCCAATACGAACATCATGGTGCAGATACTCCTGCTTTCAACCTTAAACCAATTGGTCATATGTAGAGTAGTCTTTCACCTTGTAAGGCAAGAGAGTTACACATGTTTACCAATGTGGTACAATATTCAACATTATCTATTATAATTTCATATATTGTTACTAATGTGCTAAATTACATATTACAAATTTTAATACACAATAATTGCAGTCAAGAATGACATTCATTTGGCCATTGCCTAGCTACAATCTTATTAATTTTATATGTTACGGAATACAACAGTCATCTATATATTAATTATAAGACGGTTATTATTGTGTTGAGATATAAAATTCACCACAATATTGCATTATACAATATAAATATAAACAACAAGCAATAGAAAAATGAAAAATACATGAGTTTTATTAAGATAATAAAGATACAGTACATGAATTGGCACGAGGCATATAACACAATATTGAAAAAGAATACATTATATAGAAATAAATAACATATAAATTATATTAATATAATGCAAATATAATATGTAACTAACAACACGTAACATAGTTCCACAAACACATACATATATAGAGTCAGATATCCTACTATATAAAAATATAACACAAACTGTATTAACATAATAGAAAGACAAGCATATACAACACTTATTAGAGTTGATTTCCGGACTAAAAAATATACTAATACAACGTGCACATATACTATTTATTTTTATTTTTTTTATGATGTAGGAACCCGCAACCGCTACTCGGAAGTGCATGCACATGTACTTTTATTTTAACAAAATGTGTGTAGTGTTAAATAAACATATATGTGCTATGTGACTATTTATATATATTGATGATCGAAAAAATCAGCATAAAACTGATTTGCCCTTATAATCTACTACTTTATAAGTAAAATATTTAAATATTGTTCATAATAAATAAATAATAAAAGATTATATTTACTATGTGCATTTTAATTGATTGAAATTATCTAGAGCACTCAGTAGTTAGTACAGGCACTCTAATTAAGTCCATTTCAATGTTCGACACAATTAATACATACGTATACAAAATAAATTAAATTGGTATTCGAATCAAGTAGTACAACGGTTTTCAATTCATCCTTGCTGGCATGACCCCAATCTTTAAGAAGTTGTTCTCATGGTTATATCAACATTAAAATCATCAAAGTTGGCTCTACCAGTATACATGTATCAAAAGTCGACCTCAGAAAGTATTTAGAAACATTTTTAACTACACCATCACATTTTTATTTGCTACTCAATTCAAGAACAGGCAGGCATATATATGTATCATATAATATAATATTAAAGAATAAATTTAGTTAAACATTCATGGAAGATAAAAAAAAATAACACACACTGGTTTAATTTATTGCATAGAAACAACAGAAAAAGACGTAACAAAGAAACAAAAACAATGAACGAACACAATCATTTGTCATAAATTCCGAGAAGTAGGACCATTATTAAGAACTTTGACCATAAGCCTCTAAATTTAAATTTTAAATAAAAAAATTAGGGTCTAAACATAACAGATCGATAGTGCTTCTTAACTTCATAAAAATTAGATAACAATAACAATAATAGTTCAACGTCAACTTTGTTTGATATATATAATTGATAAATGGATTAGCCATTGTGCAATTAAGAAAAAGGATATACAGCAACCACTAAAATTAAAACGTACAAAAAGTGTGTTTGCTTTCAATATCTATTCATCGTTCATAATACACCGATAAAACTATATAATTATATTTGACAAAATATTAAAAAGAAAAAATAGAACAAATATTTTTATAATTCCCAATAACAAAAAATAAAATTTCAAAATTTCCTAACCAAAAAAAAAAACAGAGAACCGTCATTTTTTATTTTAACCACCATCCTCGACTTAGATGGGTCCAATTCCAAATGTACAATTTGATGGTAATATATCCTGTCATGTTATGATAAGCACATGCATGCAGTGAAGTCTATTTATTTATTTATTTATATATTTCACACCAAGAATATACTTAACAGCTGCGTTGTTGAAACCACAGTATAAATTTACATATTCAATCACGTACCAAAGGAAATTAATAAAAGCACATGTATATATATACTTGAATTATTTGATACATGCATGTTGGGGAAACTAACGTAAGCACTTTATTCTTTTGTTAATTAAAAAAACGTGCAAAAATCAATGGGTATTGATATATAACTGCGCCTAAATAAATGTGCGTCGTTGATTCAAGGAAACATGCAATTGACATGTACATATACTATAAATTTACTTAACCAATATTGATGGAGGGGGTGGGGTAATAACTAATATATTTTTGCAGTCGAAATCGATCGACATAAGGTATAACTTACCAGTATCACCAAGTCATGTTCCATAAATTTCCTTGTCGAGATATTGTTCCAAAATGTCACTGTATAATTTAGAAGAGGACCACTACTGTAGTTTTCTAAATCCCAATCAGGCAGTTAGAAATAGCTATTTTTGGGCCACAAATTGAATGAATGCATCATTAAAAAAAAAATTTAAAAAATTAACAGCATCGCTTCCCAACACCACATTATCATTTAAAAAAAAAAATTAACACCGCTTTCCAACATCTATGCAGGGAAGATGCAATTCTATTGCTACGTGTCCCAATTAAATTGAGACACATGGCATTAGAAAATATATATGTATATATATTATATATTATATATATTTTATTTTTATATTTAAATTTTGTAGTATTTTTATAATTCATAATATTTTATATTCTATAAAATGATACCAATATTAATATATTTTATCAATTTGAAATTTAATATATATAAATACAAATATTAAATAAATAATTTTTTAATAAATTAAAATATTGACAAATAATAATATAATATAATATAGTATAATAATTAAATAAATAATTAATTATACAAATTAAAACTATAATTAAAAAATAATATATATATAATATAAAAATAAAAATTTATTAAAAAATTATGATGAATATTTTTGTTGTAAATATAAAATAGAATGGAGTATCTCCGCTGACAACGTGGCAGAGAAAAAATGTGACGTGAAGAAGAGAATGTAACGAGGAGAAGAAAAAGTAGTTGAGATACCCAAAAACGGGTATGTCCATTGCGGATGGTCTAACTAGTACCGGTCAAGTCAGGTTTGAATTCGATACCTATTTCGCTGTCCAACAATGCCCTGGGCCTGCCTAGACTAGAGTAAGTGGTATCGACTGGATTAGTTTATTTAAATACTATTTGGGCCTTGGGAATTTCAGTCTTGCCTATTTGGGCCTGCCTAATTTTGATCCTGTATTCGAAAATCATGTATTACAACTCCATCCATAAGAGTCCATTGCACATTAATTAGATCCCTCCCAAAATCTAGATCAAGAATTTGTTACTCCCAACCAAGACCGATCACATTATTACTATTATTATTATTATTATTATTATATACTCGTCACCCAGAAATTACTCAAATCAGTAAATTACGCCAACTTAAAAAAGGTGAGTCATCAAAGCATGAGTGGGCAGGTGGTGTCATAGCCCACTATGGCCATTATTCTTCATTTTCTGCTTTACAATTGAATTTTCTTCCAGAACCCTTCAATTATGTGGTGGTTAGATCTCACATGGTCAGAACAGTGAAGAGACTATAATCAATTAGAAAGTGCATCCTTGGTTGGCTGGCTGGCTATGTGTATGTGGTGAAAATCTTCACTCTTTCAAGACATCCAACTTTCAGTATAAGATTGTTTTGTTCCCTCTTCTACATAATGACGAAGGGCAAGGGCAGGTCAGTATGCAAGGAGGGAATTTTCTTGAAGGCAAATCATCATTGCATACCTCATCATAAAAGTCAATGGTCTGCACTACCCAGCAGCCTAAATAGTCTTGTGAAAAGTACTTGCATTAGAATAAGATGGCAACTTGACAAAAACTTCAACGGAAATTGGAGAACAAGCAATGGAAACTTTTAGGTTATATATATATATATATATATATATCTTATGGATATGTAACTTTCAATCCCACCCACAAAATCCATAAACAAGCATCTTCGATTTACCATACTCAGATCTTGCAAGGAATCAAAACTAAATTATAAGCTATAATGAACATAAATAGAGTTAACAAGTTTCCTTGGACCAAAATCCAGAGTAACACTCTGAAGCAACTTTAGAACACTCAGCTTGAAGAAAGCTCTATGGACGGCTCTAATAGCACACAAAAACCCATAGAGCTCTTCAGACATTACATAAAGCATCCCTAATTACTCTCTTGAAAAACATAACAAATCAAAACTTGATGACAACTTAAAACCTCAGAACTGAGTTTTTCAGTCCATACACGAACACTCTTCAAAACTGCAAAACTTAAGTGCATGCAACATTAAGTGATGCACCCCTCACCAGAGATTGGGACTCCTTCATTAAACTGGGCTTATCAATATCCATCCAAGGTAGGATTTCGTCGTCGAAATCAAGGTCATCAAAATCTAGCAGAAGACAGGACTGACCATCACCAACATGAAATCCATCAATGGGAAGATCATCAAATGCATCCAAAAGGTCAGCCATGGGTGAAACACATCCATCTTCCAAGTCGAAGATCAATGAATGAAGATCCATATCCAAGTCCAAATCTTCTCCGATCTGTGGCAGCGCCAACACCTCCTCACTTCTAGATATAACATTAGATTTCTTCTCGACAGGCTTGCTATCACATGCTTCTTCTCTGGATTGTTTGTCAGCTGCAGAGTTCAGTGAATCCAACTCAAGCTGTGATGATGAAGATGTATGCCAGAAGGAAGCACCACTTCCAACTGAATCCTCAGAGCCATCATTCTTGGGAATCAGAATGTCTACGGGCTTAGAAGGTGACGGAGAGCAGACAGATGCATAGTTCACAACATTGGAGTCCTTTTTCGAGAGAGATTCCGAGCTGCTGTTAACCAATGCCTCGAATTCAAGACGCTTTTTTTCATAAGCTCTTGATGCCTCCTCTGCAGAACTGTAGGTACCCAACCAAACCCTCTTCTGCTGAAGAGGGTCTCGAATTTCAGCCGCCCATTTCCCCCATTTGCGCTGGCGGACACCTCTGAGTTTCTCTGTAGCAGCGCACGGCTTGGTAGTAGTAAGCTGCAAATGAACCCTTTTCTTCGTAGAGCTTTTCTTGCAGGTGAGATCCTCAACAGAACTTTCAGATTCAGAGGTTTGCGACAGACAACCGTTATCCACGACGGGGTAACAAAGTTCACGGACAAAGCGCTTGGACTTCACCTTACCGACGCCATCATCATCAGATGAATCGGTAGCATCAGGGTCATTACAAAAAATTCGGATTTTTCTCATGGGTTTAGTGGGTTCAGGTTTAATCTTCGTCCTTCGGTTCAAAGCTTCATTAGTAAAAGAAATTGGCCTTCGGGGTTTTGGCATATTTAAGTTCTTGGTTATAACAACTTCAAAACCCCGAAGCAAGAACCCCCTCACAAAATTGATGTCGAAATAAAGGCAAGAAAATGGGCAAAAATCAAATACTTCTCTATGTGTAAACTAGAAAGACCTCTCCTTTCGCTTCATTGACTAACAAAGGCCCTAAATCAAAGCTTCGAATGGAACCAGTTACTTCTCAGGAACAAGAAGAGATTGAATACCCAGTTTATGTGGTAGCCGTCAAAACACACGACTCCAGACCAAGTCCTGCAGCAAACCATTACAAGCTACAGATCAGACGATGAAAGGTCTCAAATTACCAACAAAACCTAACATAACTACGGAATATACAAATAGATTTAATACTACGGAATATGTATGGGTTTTAACAAGGAAAAGAAAAAACTTAATAAAAATCTACCTCTGTGGCCTCAAACGCATCGAAACAGTTGAGAGAAAAGAGGGGCTGCTCTGCTCGGATGCACGGCAGAGGAACTTTTGCATACAGTGAGCAGAGTGAGGTGTGAAACAAAGCTTAAACGGAGCCTTAAACACAAGAGCAAGAGGGAAGACTGCCGACATAAAATCTCTCCCTCCAAAACCCTTATTGCAGGCAGCCCCCTTCTTGACCTATGAATGAGTCCCTGAGATAACGAGCACCCAAAAAAGAAAATCAAAGACGAATCAAAGCCAACTATTTATAGAGCATAAAGATAACTCTTTTCTATCCGCCCATCAACACTCAACTACACTCACCTTCCTCCTCCCCAAAGGATGAAGAAAGGGGATTAGAAATTAATGGCTATGATTCCCTGCAAGTTTCTAATATGACAAAGATACAGGCGTTGATGGAGACCACTTTACCCTCCCTCCTATTACTAGTCCACTGGCATGAAAGATAGTAGCAGTATTTGATAAAGAACAGTGGAGAGTGAGCACCGGCATATGTAAATATAGAGGGCAAAAGGTGGGCTTAAGGAAAAAAAAAAAGTCCTTTTTCTTTTATTTCACACCAGCACTGCAATTAATTTGACCAACTGCGAATACAAAATAAAAATAGTGTCTTGTCATTCTTAGACTCGGCTAAGGGAGAAGAATGGACAACGCTGGCTACATCACGTTACAGGAAACTATACTTGTTTTCATGAAATTATTTATTAGGGTTTACGAGTGAAAATGATAACGTTACTAAATTAAACGCACCGTGGGCGTAAACATATTATAGATTACACTGTATACCTGACAGCACAATATGATAATAAAGCGCCCAAAAATAATGTAATCGTTCGCATGCGCACATCACGTGAGCCTGTCTTTGGCCAAAAAAAAAAAAAAAAAAAAAAAAGTACGGATAAAATAATTATTTGGCATTAATTATTTATAAATAAAATTACGGTAAAAGATACTCCCTCCGTCTCAGATGTGGTATGCTACACTACGGTAGTATCTTATGAGGATGTAATTAATAGATAATTAAAAATGTATTAATGAAAATAATTATCTATAATATAAATAATTATAAATTAAGATTAAAATAATTAATTATTTTAATTAAAATTTAAAAAAATAAAATTTAAAAATTTAAAATGAGATTGTAATCATTTTTCAAAAAAGGAAAGTGACATGGTATGCGGGATGGACAAAACTGCAACGTGGACATGGTATCTGGGACGAAAGGAGTAGTATTTATATATTTTTTTTAAATTGATATATTTTACAAATAAAATATATTACAATAATTAATAACCATTGCAATACAATAATAAAAAAAGAAATTAAAAAACGTTAAAATGAAAAAAAATAAAATTGAAACGTTTATATAATTTTTTAAGAATTAGTTTTTTTAATATAACAAATTATTTTAAAAATTAATTAATCAAATATTTAAATTATTTATTTGACTAATAAAATAATTAAAAATTGCGCAATAAATTAAGAACTCTTTAAAAAAAAAAAAAAAAATTGCCAAACATACATCCTCTACATCTATTCAATCCAACGGCTGCATGAGTTCATTTCTTTGCATCCAGCGGCGGAGCAGCATAACTACAGTGCTCCTCGCAACACCCGATCTGCATAAGAACAAATAGAGTATGCGGGTGGCATGGCCTCCCCGTCTCGTGCACCACGCCACTCACGTGATCGTACCCCTATTAATGCTTCCACTGCTCTGTCACGTGATCGTCCCTCTGTATGTCCCATTCGTTGTATAGTAGTAGTAATAATCTTTCTTTTATAGCGATTCGGTCAAAGTTAAAGCCACGGTTGATAAAATAATAAAATAGACACTTAATGCTATTTAATTGCGACAAAATATTTATTACCGCATTGGTGTATTTTTATTACACAAGTGGGGATGGAATGGTCGACATGAAATTTTTTAACAAGTTAACGCGTAGTAACTTGAATTTCTTCGATTTAAGTCGAGAGTTGGTTAAAATACACCAAATTAAGTTATATGTGTTATAGAGCAGACAAGAAAATATCAAGTCCAGTGTACGGGCATGAACATATATTGGATGCATATGCATATAGATATAGCGTAGTGTGTTCCGTTACGGAGTGGAGTCGGCCAACTTGCTTCGTCTCCCGCCAAATTGGCACCCCACGGGCGCCATTCGCGCCAAAATCAACTTAACATGGCCCCCACTCCCGGCATATTTACTGATATACCCTTTAGCCCATACAGGTTTTCATCATTATTTATTATTATTAAAAGGTAAAATTAAGGACGGACACAGCCAACTAAAATTGGCAAGGAGGTTGAGACTGACTGTCAGATGCAACCTTCATGCGATGACTATAGCATTGCTGGATACTGAAGATGTAAACAATGTAACTGCCAATCGATCGAGGATATTGAATTGAAGCATGCATAGGATACCTTATAAACCTTAAGGATTGATTATAAGAAAAAAAAACAAAAACAAAAACTTTCAGACAATAGGGAGCAAGAAGTTGCTGCAACGTGAATTCAGACATTTATATATGAGATGAGATATGCACCTGCAGCTGAGACCGACGAGCACTAAAAATAAGAATGGTCGGACGACAGACACTGTATGTGTCCTGATGCAGCTTATAATACAATTCCAGTTCATTCTTAATCCATGCGTAAATGGGTCCACCCCACCCGAATCAAATATATATATATCAATGTCTTGACTCGACTTGACTTGACTTGGATCCAATCTATAAGATGAATTGCCTACTTCTTGTCCATAACCAGCCAAGTCAAAAGTAGGTTTCTGAATAAATCAGCTTGGAATGGGGAATTCATATATAATTTCACCTGCCAAATAAAAATTAATTAGAAAATGTATATATAAATAATAATTAATTATGATTCACATTTTCCATAACCAACATAAAAATAAAATGGTTAGAAATCTATGTGAAAAGAAATCTGAAAGCGAATTAGTAGAAGAAGGGCTAAATATATAAAAACAATACCCAACCGAAATTTTGGAAATTAATTTTAGGATAAGAAAGTGAAAGTTCGTCCAACATAAATATGGTCTTATTCTTTGCTTTTTACGTGGTGGGCCGGCCCATTCAAAGTTTTTGCTCTGTCTTGGGCCTTTGTTCTCTTTTGGAGGCCACTTGGCTCCGTCTTTTCTTTTATATTCCGTCCGTCTCGGATATTTTGGGCTTATTACTGTACGAGAATTTAGGTAAATTATAATTAGTAGGTAATTAGGAAATCTATTAGTAAAAATAATTAGATATTAAGATTAAAATAAGCAAATAATTTAATTAAAATTGAAAAATTATAAAATTTAAAATATAATTAAAATGTACAATTATATTTTCAAAATAAAAAAACACAGGTTATGTGAAAAAGACAAAAATAGAAAATAGAGACAAATTATATGGAACGAAAGAAGTATATAGGAGTGTAAATTAATATTCCTGATTATTTGTAATTATATATATATATATGTATATATAATTTTTTTTTTTTTGTTATGTATATACGTATATAACACTTTAGATCCCATAGCATATTTAGTTAAAATGTAAATACTCTATCAGCATCACAGCTCAATAAAAAGTTTTACTTCTCAAAGGTGCTATTAGTCCATTCATAACCCAAGTTTTCATAGTTGAAAAACAAAGACAGATTCAAACCCCCGACACTTCAAGTTCACCTGCCACGTATGGTTCACTAGTGTGACTTTTCCGTCGGACTTGGTTTGCAATATATTAATAGTTTTTCCTAGTCTTGACACTTCCCAATAATGTTGATCATCAAATAACTCTAGAATACTATAGTAGTTAACAACATCTATTCTATTTAAATAAAAAGAAAACGTGGAGATCTAAGCATAGATAATTACCGAACTCTCATCTACTACAAATTTGGGCATACGTAGTCAAACTCTAAAATTCAACCCATGTTAGAATATATATATCTATTTGAACTACAGAAAACGTGACCCAATTCAATATAATTTAATACACGTAATAAGGTAGGGCGAAGACCCAGCCCAGCCCCAAAATTATTTCTCTCGTCGGTTCTATGGCCATTTCTTTCTTTTAAAATTGTTATTATTCTTTTTTAAAAAGACATATATTTTAAAAAACAAGTATTATATTAAATATTATTTAAATAAATTCAAATTTGCAAATACAATCCATGAAAACTGACAAAATTGATAATAGTTTATTTCCGATGTGACCTCAATGTATCTATTTAATTATTTTTAATATGTTTACTTTCGATTTCTTCGCTTGTTTTTTAATCATTATATGTATACTTTTCACTTAAATAATATATATATATATATATATATACCTTACGCAATATACAAAATTTCTATTAAAAATAAAATGAGTTTAGAGCTAGATATGATTTTTTTCATTCTTCTATTCTATTGTATTATTATTAATATAATCCTGATATTTTAAAATTTATATAAAAAAATAAATGATTATATTGAAAATAGATAGAGTATGAGTTTTCCACTTAGGGTGTGTTTGTTTGGAAGTTTTGATTTTGAGTTGGGATTTGAATAGTAAAAATTTTGAATTTGAATAGTTGTATGATGTGATATAAATAGGTGTTGATGTGATGTTTTGAATGTAAAATTAATTTTTAGTATAATATAAAAAATGAAAAATAGGTGTTTGATTTGATGTTTTTAGTGGAAAAAAATTGGATGAATAGTAAAAAAAAAAAATCCAATCCCTCAAACAAACACACCCTTAGTATTTTCAAATAAAATGATTCTTTACCAAATATTATTTTAATATCAATTTTAAATTAAAATTTTTTAAAATAAAATAAAAATAAACACACCTCAAAATTGTCTTTTAGGGTGTGTTTGTTTGAAGGATTTTGAAGGATTTCTACTATTCATGCAATTTTTTTCCCCCAAAAACATCACATCAAATACCCATTTTTCATTTTTTATATTATACTAAAAATCAATTTTACATTCAAAACATTACATCAAACCCTATTTATATCACATCATATAACTATTCAAATTCAAAATTTTTAATATTCAAATCCCAATCCAAAATCCAAACCCCCAAACAAACACACCCTTAATTTATATGGCGTGAAGATTAAGATCGGTGTCTGCCTTGTCGGGTCCTTCGAACGGAAAAGAATATTTATATAATTAATGTATATATGTATCCTGTCCTGTGCAATGATATGTCAGCGTAATGACGTCATGAGGCTGACGTAAGAAGTTTGAAAATTACATTTGTCACAGGCGTTTCTGCAGTACGGTTACACGTGCCCGATCAAATGCAAATACAGTGATCGATGGACAGACATTGACTTTATTACGCAAGCTAGAAGAAAATTTAAGAAAGCAAAAGAAATGTATTAGAACGCATACAATAAAACGAAAATTTATAATGGGTGTGTTTGTTTGGGTGTTTGGATTTTAAGTTGGGATTTTAACAGTAAAAATTTTGTATTTGAATAATTGTACAATGTTATATAAATAAGTGCTGATATGATACTTTGAATGTAAAATTGATTTTTATTATAATATAAAAAATAAAAAGTAGGTGTTTGATTTGATATTTTTTAGAGAAAAAAAAATAGAATGAATAATGTATTTGGGGGAGAAAACACATTGCAATATTACTTTTATTTTTCAATAATATTTATTTTAAATAAAAATCTATAACAATAATAAAAACGAAAATACACTTTCACAAATAAAAGAAAAGGAGTGTTGCTGTTGCTTAGGCGATTAGTTCAAAGCTAAATGGACAAAATAAAAACAAAAATATATAGTCATATGATGAATATTGCTAGTGGGATTATACATTAATGGTGGCTTTTAATAGTAATATTTGTGTGATTCGTGTGAACTGAAAAGGTTAATAATGCGCTAAAATAAATTAAGCATTGGTGTCTTAGTCTTGGCACATGCCTAAGTTTTGTTTTAAATAAACAAAGATGGCTGATATTCTGCCATTACTTTAATACCTCAAACAAAAAAGATTAAATGCTCATTGTTTGTATCAAAATTATTATAATAACTGAATAAATAAAATAGAGAATCTCCAGGGGAACAATATATTCTTTGTTTAGATTTTGCCCTTGCAAATAAAAAATAAGTATTATATTCTAATGTGTGTAAGAGTAGCCAGCCGAGTTAATTTAAATCCTAAATCTAATGACCCTTTCCTGACGGAGTTAGTGTAATAAGATTTAAATTTAAATGAACTCTCATATCCACTAAACTATAACACTACATTCTTTCTTTTGCTTCAAAGGTTATGTTCATAGGAAACATTTCAGTAATACACCCTCCATCCGACACTTTTATTTACTTGTTTATTTAAATTTATAAAACCTTTATCAATCTACAATTTTATCACTACTCTAATAAATAATAGTTTGCTATTATAGTTCTTTATATTGCATAAGTATAGGAGGAAATCATTTTAATAATTTTCTCTTTATATTTCAATTATATATCTTAAATATAAATGATATATATATATATAAAGAAAATCAATAATGATTTAAAATATGCAAACTTAAAAATATAAAATTATATTTTTTCTTTTAATTGCTTCCAATTGTAATCTAAAGTCCACAAAGATTTACGATTTATGTTTGTTTATGGATTTTTAATTCAATCATTAAATTTTTCTATTAAATAATATCAAATTAATCTGTTTATAGTAATATAATATTACAAATTAATTTTATATTTAAATTATTATAATTAATACAGTATATATTTATATTATAAAAATAATTATTTAAAATCAAAATTTACGATTCAAAATTTTAAAACCAACAGACAAACACCACGTGATTTGATGATGTTTATGATCCAAAATCTTACGACGACCACCCTCCCCACCTATAACGATAAGGCAGCCACGTAGCTTTGATGATCTGACCCAAAATTGATTATTCAACTGATCCGAGTCAACTGTACCATTTGATACCCCCCAGTCCCACCCCACCCCACCCCACCCCACCCCACGAGAACTTTGTGGCGAGCCAGTCAATTTAATTAACCTTGGTTGGAACTGAAGGATATTTCAATGATATGTCGTCATCTTCCCACATCACCCCTATGACGTCACCTTAATTTCATCATTGAATTCATTCGCGTCTTGTTCTCAAGTAGTATATCCTTTCCTTTAAATCTGGATGACGATGTTAGCTGTTTCTTCCCAGCTACCTCGGCTCTACCTCTTCTCTTCTATTCATACGTATCCATCAATCTATCTATTCATCGACCATTTTAATTAATTTAATTCATGGACGAGGAGAAGAGAAAGCACGAAGATGGCGAGGGAGATGATTACAGCAGCGCCAAGAGGGGGAAGCCTGCTGCCGCTGCCGGGCGGAACGAAGAAGGAGCGGCGCCGCCGGGGGATGAAGAGGTGGATGAATTCTTTGCAATACTGAAGAGAATTCATGTGGCTGTTAAGTATTTCCAGGAGCGCGGCGCTGTGGCGGCGCCGGAGAAGTCCGTTTGGACGCCGGCATTCAGACGGGAAGATTTCGAAGGCGTTAAGGGATCAGAAGACGAGCCGAAGAAGAAGAAGAAGATGGATGCTCCGAATGCGGCGGCGGGTTTGGATCTTAACTCGGATCTTACTTCTTCTGATGTTTCGGATTCTAGTTAATTAATTTATTTATTTTATATAATAATAATATTGACTAATTAATTGTGAGAAACCGGATCCATCATAGTGGAGTGGAGTGGAGTATCATTTCTGGAACCGGCTCGGCTCGGCTCGGCTCATATGGAGTACTCAACATGGCTCTGTTTAGACAGCCTTTTTATATTAGAAACATGCACGTGTAGTGCTGGTAAGATCCGATGGACATACATAACGGCACAAATCAAGATCAGTCGATACTACTCGATTCTACTCTTTCTTGGTTTGGCTCCGATCCGATCCGGGACGAAGAATATGAATCTGAATTTGATTTCTTCATTCATTTTTCTTTTTGCCTGCACACTTTAAACAAATAAAATATATATATATATATATTTCTTTAAAACAATATGTTTCTTTTTCGAATAAACAAATGGAAAAAGGAAAAATAAAGACAAGGATGAAAACACAAGCAAGCAGTTGGGAAGTAGTTGAAAATTGTAAGCTAATGTAGTTTTTGCATGAGAAAGTGTTGGCCTAAAAAGAAGAGAATTAAAAAGGTGATTTTGAGGGGTTCATGGGAGGAGTTGCTTGTATTTGAATTTGCTTGAATTGATATGATGGCATGGCATTGCTACTGGGTGGGGTAAGGGCATGGATAGTTCTTCCTTTAATTATTCTTGCCTGCTTTTTAGGCAATTTTAAATGATTAAGATGATGGATGGATATACTCTGTGTCTGAATTACTACTACTGCCTGTTGATTAAGGCCTTCACTCAACCCAACACCAACACCAAAGCCAACACGGCAGATGATTACTGTATTATGTGAGATGTGATCATTTATGGATGGATTCATTGTCTTTTATTGTGGTGGGGTATGATATATTGATATGATGCCTGTCTGGCATTACAACAATCATTGGGCCATTTGGGCTTAGTTCTCCATAAAATTGGGCCCAACGTTACTAATTTGCATTAGCCTCGTCTCTATAAAATGATCCTGAGAAATCCTCCGGACGTCCGCCCAATATTACCGGCACAAGATTTTTAAAACAATTACTACTATTATTCAAGTCTATATCATTACTATTATTATTATTTAAATTTTTATGCGGGAGTAAAATCTATATATAAAAAAATAATAGTGGAAAACGAATGAAGTACGTCAGATCGGAAGAAGATTCAACATCAAATAATTCAGTTGGAAAAGGACATGAGTACATGACAACTTGTTTATACTTGCTTCAATTATTAGAACTCATCCACTCATATGCAACAGTCACACTGTTTTAATTTGATAATACCCAAGAATATGCATGCTCGTTTAAAGGCTCCATTTTTATGAAAGTTTTTGGAAGATTGACATTTTTGAATTTTATAATAATTAATTAACATCATATTTTATGAAAAAGAAGTAAACTAAGATTACTTTTGAATAGTACGAAGAAGAAGAAGAAGTATCTATTTATAGTTCAAATATGACCCTAAATCAGCATTTTCCTAATTTTGTTAAGGTAAGCAATTTTGTCTATAAATAATAATAACAAATTCCATATTATTATATCAGCGCAATCATTTGATGAAGTCTATCAACGAGATTTCATCCGCTTAATTTCTAATACAAAACATATTTAATTAATTAATCAACAAGAATTTAAATTATAATATCGGCCTGATTTATACTAGCTAGCCACCCATTACTCTATCAACACCGCATCCACTGCTAATATACCCAAGCAGTGTCTTCCCTCGTTTGAATATTTACTGTGATTCATTTATGTTCCAATATTATATTTTAAATTATGAAATTGTTATTTTTGGCTGAAAAATATATATATATGTGGAAGAAAACAAGAAAAAGATATTTATATGGAAATTGATTTAGTATACAAAACATGCAGGGAATCTCATACCAGACATAAAATATAAGGTATTTTGGCTCAATCGTACTGTGTTATTATGACACTTTATTAAGTCCAAGATATTTATATATTATACACATCTGTAAATTTGTATACAATTCCTGACACCATTACGCTAGCTGTACTCTACCTCTCTGCAAGACGACTGATGATGGGAACGATGATTCCTCAGAATGTCGAAAAGAAAAAAGGCGGCATGGTCACCATGCCCTTCATCTTTGGTTAGCTCCATCATCGTCAAAATTTCAGCTTTTTTTTTCAATTTTAATGGGTGGATTTAATTAATTAATTAATTTATCCAACTTGTTACAGCAAATGAAGTATGCGAAAAACTGGCTGTTGTTGGATTCTCCACCAATATGATGAGCTATTTGACAGGGCAGCTTCATCTGCCGATAACCATGGCCGCCAATACTCTCAACAACTTCGGCGGGACGGCTGCTCTGACGCCGTTGCTTGGAGCCTTCGTCTCCGATGCCTTCGCCGGGAGGTTTTGGACAATTACCATTGCCTCAATAATATACCAAATAGTTAGGGTTTCTTAATTACCACTCAACTCCATCTCCAATCCATTCATTAATGCTTTATTTAATTATACACAGAAACTAAAAGTGTTCTTTCCTGCACAGGGAATGATCAGTTTGACAGTGTCAGCAGTTTTGCCCAATCTAAGACCTCCCGCTTGTAATAAAACCAGCGGCCAGATTTGCGAGCGAGCTGATTCAGGCCAACTGGCGGTTCTCTATATCTCGCTGTTGCTGACAGCCTTAGGTTCCGGTGGGATCCGGCCGTGCGTGGTGTCTTTCGGGGCTGACCAGTTCGATGAGAACGATCCGAGGGAGAAGACCACGACATGGAAATTCTTCAACTGGTACTACTTCTGTATGGGGGCGTCCATCCTGGTTGCGAACACAGGTATTGTGTATATTCAGGACAACGTTGGATGGGGCTGGGGGCTTGGGGTTCCGACCATTGTCATGGCTCTGTCGATTATTGCCTTCGTCTTTGGGTATCCGATGTATCGACATATTGACCCGGCGGGCAGCCCCTTTACCCGTCTGGTCCAAGTCTGCGTGGCGGCGTACAGGAAGAGGAAGGTGGCGATGGTGTCTGATCCAGCTCGAATGCTGTATGAAAATGAGGAGCTTGATGCTCCCATCTCCGTCGGTGGGAAACTTATCCACACCAAGAACATGAAGTACGTATATATGCTTTCATTTCTTCGCATCAAGATTTCATCAGTAATGGAATTATTGTTTTCTGAATTCTGAGAAGAAATTAAAAAGAATCCACCGACACAATGTATGGTTTGTAATTAAGCATTTCATGTCTATCCAACCAAAATCATATGTGCCTTTCTTCTTTACTTTATTTCCTATTCTTTTTCCAAATTGGCTGCCTGCAGTGCCCACCTTCTTACCCTTTATTTTGTCCGGTCACGATAGACTATGTTATCTTGTCAGTTCCAACCTGGTTGCTTCGAAAACTGCCGAAACATGCAGCTTCAATAATTGAACGTCATGGTTGTGTAGCCTAGCTTAATTGGAATAATAATATATGATAAACTAAAGAAATATTAATATAGAAAAGAGTGATTTCTCGATTAAATAGAAAATATAATGTGCTTTAACTTAACTTTTACCCATATGCACAGATTCTTGGACAAAGCTGCCATTGTTACGGAAAACGACAATCTAACGACTAACAATCCATGGGAGCTGTCGACGGTCCACCGTGTGGAGGAGCTGAAAACCCTCGTCAGAATGGGTCCGATATGGGTCACCGGCATCCTCCTGATCACGGCGGCTGCCCAGCAAAACACGTTCGCCCTCCAACAGGCCAAGTCCATGAACAGACACCTCACCAACACCTTCAAAATCCCAGCAGCCTCAATGAGCGTCTTCGTGCAGCTAGCAATGTTGCTCACCATAGCCCTTTACGACAAGGTCTTGGTCCCCCTAGCCAGGCGCTTCACCGGCCTGGACCGCGGGATAACCTTCCTCACACGAATCGGCATTGGCCTCGGGGTCTCATTGCTAGGCACCATGGCAGCCGGCTTCGTCGAAGTCAGGCGCAAGAATGCTGCATCCGCCGCCGGCCTGATCGACAAACCCGATGCCACCATTCCCATTTCAGTTTTCTGGATAGTTCCACTGCATGCTCTCCATGGTGTAGCAGAAGCTTTCACGTCAATCGGGTACCTTGAATTTTTCTATGATCAGGCCCCGGAGAGCATGAGGAGCACCGGGCCGGCATTGTTCTGGCTTTCGATCTCGGCAGGGAGCTATGTGAGCACCCTTTTGGTCAGTCTTGTGCACAAATACAGCGCCGGCCCTGATGGCTCCAACTGGCTGCCGGATAACAATCTCAACAGAGGGAAATTGGAGTACCTGTATTGGTTGATTACATTGCTGCAGCTCTTGAACCTGATTTATTATTTGTTCTGCACCAAGTTCTACACGTTCAAGCCAATCAAGCCCCGCAAGCAGGAAGAGGAAGGGCCAATAGAAGGAGGAGCTGAGGATACACTTCATCATCTTGCCTGATGAGCTAGTATATCGAGTTCTTCTAGAAGTTTAGTTATGGATGTAAAAGGGGTTTCACCGCTACCACATATTATTTAGATTGTGGTATCTTTTTTATTTTTTATTTTTTATTTTTATAGCGTCGTCCTTCAACAAATTATATATACATAAATTGGCACTTGTTTGTTTTCCATTGATGTCATCATTTATCCCTGTATCAGACCAACAATGTATATATTTTGTTGTTCCCTCAAATTGGGGAATTCTTAAATGGTAAGCCGCAGAATATGGGGATTCAGAAAACCACAAACTCTGCTCTTCTTTTTCTCAAAATCCAAAAGCGGAGAAGAAGAAGAAGAAGAAATTGAAAAGAAACTGGTTAGATAGACTCCCATTCTTTTTCCGTAATGTTTTCCTTCAAAAAACTTAACCTTTTCCATGTCGATTCGATTTCGAGTAAAATGGAAGAAGATGATTTTTCCGACGCGTGCAATGAATTAACGCCTCTATCAGGAGTGGCCGATGCCTTCGAAGAGCTTTCTACGATAATGAAGGAACATGGGTTTGAATACGACCTTGATTTGAAAACTTTCTGCAATGCTTGTTCTCTTGTTTCTACCCTCTTCGGCTCATTGGGCAGGGCGTTTAAATTTGCAGAAATGGAGTATTGTTCCAAGGTAGGCACCCAAAAATTCGACCTGACCTGATTCGGCATTCTGCACCCATAATTCATTCGTCCTAATGCCATGATTGATTCATTTCAGGTGAATGATCTTGCAGGAGCATGCGAGACCCACGTGACGCTGAACACCGTGCTTGATTTCGATCTACAGAACAACACAGTGAAGACGCAAGGAAGCCTGTCGCGGTGCCTGCGCAGAGTAAGACAGGGCATCGATCTCATCCGAGTTCTGTTCCAAAACTTCTTATCAACAGAGTGCGTTCTTATTTCCTTCCTCCATTCCTTATTGCGCGAGTTTGAGTATATGCTTTTCTTCATGTGATTAACTGGAAACAATATATGTATGTATATACCTACAGTGATCCCTATTTGAAGGATGCTGCATCGACAGCTTATGCAGAGACATGTGCACCGTATCACACATGGGCCGTTAGGACCGCCGTCTCTGCTGGCATGTACACGCTGCCGACGAGGGAACAGCTACTCCTCAGGCTCAACGAAACAGGTGAGATTGGAGAAGGATAATTAATACCTGAAACCATGGGAACATATATAGTTTTGGTAGATGAGAACAAAATTTTGCTGATTTTGGTGAATTACATTATATATTGCATCAATTTTCAGAGGAGTCGGCTGAGAGGGAAATGATGAGATTCATAAAGGCTTCCCATGCCATCATACAGTACATCGATAGTCTCTACACATCAAGAAATATCACCTTGGACTGGTGATGGCATAATCTCGCGAATGTGAAGATGGCCTGGCATTAGTCCGTAGAAGATGAAGTTGAATGAAGGGTAGAGCAAGCAGCATCACCGGAGGATCACTTTGGACGACAAGACGCGCTGTATTCTTTAGTTAGAATTATGTGTAATAGTTCAATGTTTGTTACTATAAATCAATTAGTACATACATTACCCATTCAAAGTTGTAAAAGAGGCATTTGTTGGTGTTGGAGAGCAAGTTTACGATCCTAATGATCTTGCCATAGGCCACTCAAAGACACTTCTTTGAGCATACACTTAATCAACCACTGCATAACAATTCTTTTAACACATGAAAACTAGATAGAGTAAGGTAAAAAGAATATCAAGACCAATTCAATTACTTGCAGTAATTATTCAATTGTTATATAAGCCAAAACGGGAAAAAAGAACTAAAAATCCTCTTCCAAACAGACTAACTCAAACTGCAGCTAGGAATTTCGGCAAGTCTCAGATGCCTTTGTTTCAAAATTTGTTAATATGCTTATATAAATCTCTTTCCAGGAAAAGGAAAGAACTTAATACAACAACAGAGGCACCTTCAACTGGCTGAATGTTTCGGTGTTCTGCCCTGCAGCACTTCTTACCAACAAATATCTTCATCTACATTGTCAGGCTTTCAGGGTTCTCAATGATCTTTGTAAAGGTTTGCAGGAATGCAGCGAGGTCAGCCCCATAGATGATTCTGTGATCAGCTGTAACATTCACCTGAAAAAACAGTTTTACATAAATCATTCAGGTCTCTCTTTCAACAAACCTAAGTTATAATATAGCTGGCAATCAAAGGAAGCCAATTTTTTGAAAAAGACAGGTTCTAACAGACACTAGAGGGTGTTTTATCTTTTACTTTTCCTCAAGTTTTCAGACAATCAGTTTCTCTCAGCCCTTTTATACTTTGCTACAGGCAATAGACAGTATATTCATTCATCAAAGAACTCCATCTATTGCTGTAACTCTTTCTCACTAATTAAACATTACAATCCATCTTCTAGCCCATAGAAATACTAGTCATCATAGTTGTATTGATCAACAGTCCAACACAGGGGATAGATCAATAAATTTCAATTAGTTGGTTATAGCATTCTTGCTTGCTCTAAAGCACAAACAACTACAATGGATAGATGTCAAATATTGCTCAGTTAAATTCCCTGACAGAGTGGATATCATCAAAGACAGCAATTTGACAGAAGCCGGGTAATTTCCAAAACCAAAGCGCGTTCAAATTGTAATAAGAATAATGGGAACAGTAACAGGGCAGAGAAAGCAATAGAACATTAAGATATTCATATCAGATGATATATCTCAAGACCATAAGCTGGCCAACAAAATGAGAAAAGTCAACAGCATCATCTACACAATGAACTTACCAGCATTTTGTTTTTTACACTGAAGAATCCATCTTTGTCAGCAGTAACAGAAGGCTTTGATGCACCCACAGCCATAATAGCACCCTGTTAAATCATGAATACCCGCTTAACTTCAGCAATGATAAATTATTTCATAATATATTAATATTTTGCAGTAACTGTGAAGTTTGATGTGGATTATTTATACCTGTCCAGGAGGAAGGATAGCGTCAAACCTATCAACTCCAAACATGCCCAAATTAGATAATGTGAATGTTCCTGCAGGTAAACAAACAAAAATAAAAAACCATATGAATCAGTAGTTGTATATCTATGAATGTTAATTCAATGAATGCTTTGTTGATTACTGATGTAATTTTTATGTAAGACCTGAATTGTATTCCTGGGGCTGAAGTTGCTTTGCCCGAGCCTTCTCAACCAACTCCTTCCATTTTTGTGATAACAAATAAAGGTCCAACTACAAGAGAGCAAACTAGTCAGGATGCCTGTACCACGTTTCAACACTACTGAATTCAAATCACACTAGTGTACAAAGAACACAATGTGTGATTCATATGCAGCACCTTGTCAGCATCTTGAAGAACAGGGGTGATTAATCCACCATTAATTGCCACTGCCACAGCAATGTTTATGCTGCTATTGTATGTAAAGCTTTTCCCATCTTTACAAGTAGCGTTCACCACAGGATGCTGAACCAAAGCCGTAGCAGCAGCTTTTGCCAACAATGCAGTCATGGTAACACCCTTTGGTTTCACCTATTGACAATTAAAAAATGAAAAAACAATTGTACCAAGTCTTGTAAGGAATTCAAAATGAATACTCCATTATGCAGCATTTACAATTCAAGCAATTACATTCAAAACCTATGTGAACAAAATAGCATTCCTCAGTGCGAAAAAACTTTTATACTCACTGAAAACAAAGAATTACCTTTTCATATAGAGCATCAAGCGCATCCGTGGTGATTGGGTAACCGACCCTGAAAGTTGGGACTGTCAGACTCTCCATCATGTTCTTCGATACCGCAGCTTGCATTGTAGTAAAAGGTACCATAGTTGAGCCAGGAATTTCAGGATATGTTGTTGCAGCCTTCCGCGGAGATGCCGCAGGCGCTGCAGCGGCGGGAGCTGGGGCTGCCGGGGCTGCCACACTTGGTTTGGGGGCAGACGAAATTCCAGCTGCCTTCTCCACATCCTCGGGGGTTATCCTGCCATATGGACCAGTCCCCGCCAACTTATTAAGATCGACCTTATGCTGTTTCGCCAATTTCTTCGCATAAGGTGTTGCCACCATCTTCCCCGGCGTTGCCGGAGCAGCAGCAGGTGCTGGAGCTGGAGCCTCAACCTTTGTAGGGACAGGAGCAGGCTCCTCTGCTTTAGGCGCAGGTGCGGCTGCGGAAGGTGCCGATTGCGACGAGGCTTTAGCCTTAGCTTCCGCAATTTCCTCCTCAGTCTCAGCCAAAATTCCAATTGCTGCGCCAACTGGAGCCGTCTCTCCTTCGTTAACAACAATGGCGGCCAATATTCCGTCGTAGAACGTTTCCACGTCCATATCGGCTTTATCAGATTCAACGACGACGACGGATTCGCCCTTGGATAGAACGTCGCCCTCCGATTTAACCCAGCTGACGATTTTTCCCTCGGTCATCGTCGAACTGAGGGCGGGCATAAAGATCTCCCGGATCTTGGCCTGGACAATGGGCCGGCGATAGGATCGCGGCTTGAGAAAGAATGCGGATGGGCGGAGGGACGGAGAGGCCGAGGATAAAGAAGAGGAAAACGAGAGGGAAGCTGCCATCGCGATGGTGGATCGGAGGTCGTTGGGAAAGGAGAGTGAGCGGATGGTAGTATAAAAAGTGGGGAAATGGCGGAGAAGCCGAGGAAGAATTCGTGGGAGTTAGCTTTGCATACTCCGCCTGCAACTGTGTTTTGTGTCATTCACTGCTGCGAGCGATGTTAGTGCAAATCTGAAGGTACCAATATTCGTCGTACATACTTAAACCCATAAATCAATCCATTTACTTGAAGCCTGGTAAATACTCTTATGGACTGGGCCTAATGGACTCTAGTGGGCCTTTACTGGCCCTACTTGAGCCCAAAATCATGCTGGACTGGGGTACGATGTTGTCATTTGCTGTCCTGAATCTGAGCCTTAGGTTAAATATTACTACTGTTTCATTTACTTTTATAATTGTGAGATTGAATTATTAAATACTTTTAGGTTGTGTTTGGTACAGGGAATTGGCAGCATAGAAATGGAATGTTTTCATTTCTCTTGTTTGTTGAGTAAGACAAATGGAAGTTGAGAAATAAATCATTTTTATTTGTCTGTTTTCATTTCTCTCATATCATATATTTAGAGAAATAGAGAGAAATGCTGTTCTAGTATATATTTTTTATTTTTTTACTTTTTTTTTACTATTTAATTTTTATAATTATTTATATTATATTATTTCAATTTTAAAAAATTATTTTCAATTTATCATTCAAGTATTTAATTTTTTACAAAAATTTATACTAAAATATGATCTTACAAAATTTCTTATATAATTTATATTTTTTTTAAAAAAAAAAATCACCATAAATATTTTTTCATGATTCTCGCTAAAACTCTCTTTTGTTAGATTAATAATTTATTCTATTATATATATATATATATACATTTTTTAACCGAGTTCTCTATTCTACTGAACAAGACAATTAATTCTCTACTCAATTTTCTTTCTCTCCAATTCCATTATCTATTCTTCAATTTCATTCTCTGTACCAAACGCCCTTAATTTATTTATGATTGTGTTCGAAAGCAGTGTGGTAAGGCAAACCTTAAAAAAATAAGTAGAAGCCAAAAGTAGAAGTTGAAGCCAAAAACATCGATTTTATGTTTGGATAATAATTATAAAAGCAGCTTTTTATAAACAAAACTGTTTGGTTGAAGGTGTTTTTAAATTATTAAAATTATAGAATAGGACATAGTAATGTAAATAGTATATTGTTGATTAAAATTTTTTAATTTATTTAGAATTTTATAAATTTTTTTAAAAAATTTTAATTATCTAAACTAATTGAAAATATATTTATTAAATTTTATGTATAAATTATATTTGTATTTTTTTAATTTTTATAAGAATGAAAATTTAAAATATAATTAAATTTAAATAATACTATTCTACAAATTATTTTAACTTTATAAATTATATTTAGAAATATTAAATTATCTACTATACAATTAAAGTTTATAATTTTAAAATTTAATATTTTTAATCATAAATTTTAAATTTAATTAAAATAAAATATATAAATGAATAATTATTTAATTTGTTATTATTATTATTAGGGTTAAAATTGTAATTTAAATAGTAAATATGCTTTTGTTTTTTTCCAGAAGCACCCCTCAGGTGCTTCTCAAAAAAATACTTTTGGAATCTAAAAATTGCTTCTACTTTTAAAAAAAAACAAATAGAAATATAAATAAATATTTTTTTAAGAAATAGAAGATTAAACACTTTATAAAAGCTAATTCAAACGGGACCTAAATAAATATATTTTAATACTTAAATGAACCCTGTGCTTTTAAATTAGATTTCCGTCAACACTAAACAGCACAATACAGAAGTTAGTTTACTAGTTTCACTCGTGCATTTTATTATACTATTTACGTATGTATTCTTATATACTACTAGTATTTTACAATATATATATATATATGTGTGTATTTTCAAGTAAATACATTTTTTAAATTAATTGTAAGATACATATATAGTAGCATATAATTCTGAGCCCAATCAAAATTGCTAAATCCAAAGCGCTGTTCCCGTGGCAGTTCACAACCCTTCAATAATTGCTCTCCATTGCCATCAGCATTAGCATTAGCATTAGCGCCCACCCGCCAATGGATGATTGTCACTTGGATCAATCCCCAGTCTCCGTCCACTGTTACATTATCCTTGAGATGCCTGGCTATGATATATATATATTATTGTGTAGCAATAGTAGCATAGCAATCGACAAAACCTAGCTTGTCCATGTGACACACTCTTCATTGGCCTGAGCCATAAGACACTGTCCTCCCCCTCCCAGCAATCTATCAACAACATCCATCCAATTTGGTGTCCACGAATTCCCCAAAGCTCTACGGGCCCCTATTTGGTGCACCATCCAACGTTACTTATTATTCTTATTTTATAACAACTTGAAAATTTAATTCTCAACCTTGGACTTTATTTATTGCTTTCTATTCTATTTCGGCATTATAATAAGCCAAGGATATGTAACATACACACAGACACACACATAAGTAAGTAAATAAATAAATATTAGAGAACAAATTCGAGTGCTCGAACACGATTCGCCTAGCTGGGCTGCGGTGCTGTTCTGTGCTGTGCTCTCTTGTCCGCCTCCCACCCTACCTGATTGCTTTTCTTTTATTTATGCATATATTCCTGCAGAAGCTCGACACGTGTCTCCTCAGGAATGGACCGGACCACCTTTGTAGAATCGAATGACTCTCACGGACTCTCAAGTCACGATACATCGCCGATAATCCGTCCTCATCTCTGCTTTTTTGTTTTTGTTTTTATTTCCCCTCTTGTTATACAATATTAGACATTGGCCCTAAAAAAATGTCTATAGGGAGATCCTTAAGGAGATCCCTGGACCGAAACTCCCAGGATGAGGATGGGGTGCACTGCCGCTAATCTCAATCTGATCAACGGCGTGGATGCGTTTGCTGCTGGAGTCCAGTCCAGGTGGGGATGGCCAAGATTTGTCCAGCCAGCCATCCGCTATCTGTCCTTGCCATGTTACCACACAGACACAGTGCAGTGTCCACTCCGTCCGATGCACAATTCAGCCCCACTGCCACTGCCTTATATCAAGGCGTCCTGCCTCTCCCTCACCCCCCACCTGGAGCTGGATGCACGCAACGGCTATTACCATCACTAACTCGGAGATGCAAGAAAATTTTGTGCATGGAGTGGGGGAGGGCAGTAGCCATGGCAGCAGCCCGATAATAGCCCCATTCGTGATGAAAACTTACCAAATGGTGAATGACCCGATGACCAATGGGCTCATCACATGGGGGAGGGCTGACAACAGTTTCATTGTTTTGGAACCTTTGGAATTTTCGCAAAGGGTTTTGCCTCTTTACTTCAAGCATTGTAATTTCTCCAGCTTCGTTCGTCAGCTCAATACTTATGTGAGTGCGGCTGCTCCAGCCTCCAGCTGATGTTGATTTACTTCAATTCTTGAATACTATACTATACTACATACATACATATATGCTTTAACACAGAATAAATCCAGTGGTTAATCTAATGTGGCTATGCTCGAGTAATTTCCACAATTCGATTTAATATTATTCTTCCTGATTTCCCCATTGTTTGCATCAGGGCTTTAAAAAGGTTGATCCAGATAGGTGGGAGTTCGCAAATGAATGGTTTCTACGCGGACAAATACGACTCTTGAGCAGCATTGTCAGGAGGAAGTATAATAATAAAACCGACGACACTTGGCTCATCCAGCACAGTATCGATGAAGATGATGAGGAGCTGTTATTGGAGATCACCAAACTAAAGCAAGAGCAGAATATTTTAGAACAGGAGCTGGAGAGCATGATGAAGAGGCTAGATACCACAGAAAGGAGACCCCAGCAGATGGTGTCTTTCTTGCACCAAGTTGCACAAGACCCCCAAATTTTGACCCGGATTATGCTCGACAAGTCAAGGATAAAACGTCTAACATCTGGTGACGACAGTGGCAAGAAAAAGTCGATGATATCTGCTGGCTCATCAAATTCTTCTGAAGCAGCTGTTTCGAATTCATCAATTAAGAGTGAAGAAGATCAAGAGTGTGACACAATTAATGGGGAGACAACGCCTGTTTCTTCACCCATCCAATCTTCAATGGATTCAGGGGAACAAAAGTATCAAGATCATCCCACCCTTTCTAGTTCGTTAGGATATAATGATATGCTCAGTGAAGGAATTGGCGTAGAATATTTTGAAGGACTAATGGCAGGGGACAATGCCAGCCCTCTGCTGCCATATCCATTCTCACTTCTTGGCGGATGATTTTAGTTATATATGCTTGGCTTTTGAACCTTTTAGTAAGTGTTGCTAACTTTGTCACTGCTAGTTTTGAGTAATGCTGCTAATTTGTTTGGATGCGGATTGACGAATTGTATGCAGTTATTTGTATTTTATTTGATGTATAGCTAATTCTATATATATGCCAGTGATTCTCACTTTATTTCAACCTCAGTGTCTCCATTGACAAAGTTCTCAATCTGACTTTTCTTACATCCTTTTCTGGACATTTCATTGGCTAATAGCTGTCTTGAATTCATCTTATCATTATTACTAAGCCCAAATCTTTAATCTGACCACATCGGAGCGTTCATAATTATTGAGAGCTATTAGGTCTTCAAACCAACCTCACTGCAATAATGGTGAGTGAAGAAAGTTCAATGCATTGTGGGGCTTCTCAAAAGACTAAACCAGACCTTTTCCCACTCAAGATACCTTACACTTTTTACCAGATGAAAAAACTGCTCTGTGTCCTAGCTTTCCTTGTAAATCTTTTTCCTTCAAAGTGGCTGCTCCAACGCCCTTATTCGAGGATAGAAGCATGACCATGGTTAGCTGGAGCAAGGCTGATGAGGTTCCAGCAGCTAGGCCACTGAACTGCCGCCGTAAGACCAGCTTAGCCGCCGTAGAGTCACTGGCCATGCCTCTTGTGAGTTGATTCATATTTTGGTTCTTGCAAGCATGGATTCAGCTGTCTGATCATTTTGCTGAAATCAGGTGCAGGAAGTTGTTTTCTTGGCCGATTTCCGGTGTGGGAGGTGCCAGAAGAGAGTGGCTGAGATTATGTCCAAAATGAATGGTAAAAGTCATTGTTGCTTGGGATTTATCATAGGAATCTGATCTTGTGTGTTAATAATAGTTTGTTTATAAAAAAAGGGTATTTTTGCTTCTGGGTTTTTGTTCTGCTGGCAATTAGTATTTCATATGAATTATTACCAACATTATAATTGAGCTGTAGGAGAGACTCAAACCGTGGTGATTAGTGTTATGGAGAAGAAGGTAACACTGACTTCTTGTACATATCCAACTATTGGCCATAAACTAAATCCTCATCGACACTGGCGCTCCTGGAAAAAAGTTTCTCCGATGGCACGACTCTTCTGCTCATCGGATAACTGAAGATGCTTACACACAGGAATAAAGCTTCTTTCTTACATGATAGGGCTGTTTAGGTAGCTGAAATCCCGGGGATCCTCTGTTTGTATATTTAGTTTGGTAATCAAGAAGGTATTGAAAGTTACCAATGGTGGACAACAAAAAAGATTCTTCCTTTGTAAACAATATACAATTAGTACTATGATGTTGTTTTTAAGGCAAGTCAAGGCCAAGGCCAAGATGAGCAAATTAAGACATCCCCTGAAGTCTTCTTAACCATGCACGGTATTAGATTCCTCATTGAATAAAAATACCGTCTGTAAAGAATCAAAGTTCCTCATTAAACACAAAACCATCACTTCAATTTTTGTTTCTGATGATTTTTATTTTTTTGTCAACTGGAATTTGTTCTGGACAACTCATCAGCTATTAAACTGGGTTCTCACCAAAGTTCCCTGTCAGGGCAGGCAAGAATTTTAATTATCCTTACAAACATGGATCTGTTAAAGAGTTTCGGCTCGACCTGGACTTCATCCTAAGTGGTATTTTGTTTCATCAAGAACAGGCCCTTTACATGGTGATGAGGATTAATCTCGATTGCAATGCATGTTGCAGAAAGATGAGAAGAATCCTTTTAAGGATGAAAGGTAGCTGAAAACCGTTATTTCGATAGTATTGTGTTCATATTTTGTCACGGTTAAGAATAAAAAGTACCTTACAATTTCCATGCCTTTGAAGAAATAGAGTCACATTTTATAGACAAGCAGCTGAGCACGGTAACTGTCTACGGTAGATTTGTCCCAGCCGACCTTGCGATAACAATAAGGAAAAGGATGAAGCGTAGAGTAGAGATTCTGGAAATTCAAGAACCTGACCGCGGCGGCAACGTTGTGGATGGATATGTAGAAGAAATGCCCCCCGTCTTAGCACAACCTGTTTAGCATTCTTATGTCACTTTGTAGCTCAGATCCATTTTCAGGAATGCTGTGATAAACTTATGTTGCCTTAGACAGTAGTGTAAATTCCAACTTCTCTTTCCCAAATGAATTGTTGGTCGCTCTATAATCATGCAACATCTTCTTTGTAAGGAAAATAAGGATATCTTATTCATTTAACACATGCTCCCTTCAACCATTAAAATTAGTCATTTAAATTTGACACAAAAATTTAAAAAAATAAATATTTTATTAAAAAAGTAATAAATAATCGAGGGAGGGTATTTTTGAAAATTTAGTTAAAAAGTAAAATAAATGAAGAGATAATATAGTAAAGTTAGTGATATTTATTGTAAATAAGTGAACTCTAATAATTAAATATTGATTCATTGACTTTGCCAAAATTAATAATGAGATAAATTTAGTGGACAGACTATAAATTTGGGCGGGCGGACGGAGAACAATCGAACGTTTATGCAATGGCATTAATGTCAGTTTTGAATATCCTAATAAACTTTTGTGTCGAATATGTTAATAAAATAATTGTGTATTGAGAGTTTTCTTCTAGAAGGTGCCAAGTACAGACGGGGTCACTATGAGATATATCATTAATTCAAGGGCTGGTTTGATATTATACGACATTATTCAGAATATCAATTCGCCGTATATATATATAAAGCTGTATGTATATCTACCGTCGCATTTTTTCATCGCTAGATTGGTTCTCTCTCGGAGCCCTAACCCTAATCTAAACCCGATTGTTCGGGATTGTGCAATCAAACCTCGACCTTGCATATCTTGCAACAACTATGGCAAGTGATTCCAGTGAACGCACGCGTCGCAAGCACCACCGTTCGTCCTCAACCGACGATGCGGAGGAGCGTTCCAAACGCCACAAGCACCGCCACCGCCACCGGCATCGCCACCACCGGCACCGGAGCAGTAAAGATAAAGAGGAAATAGCAGGTGTTGCAACGGAGGAACTGGAAAGTGAAAAAATTGATGAAATTGAGCTCGACGAAAGGATATTGGAAAATAATGGCGACGTGGACGGTGGTGCCTTGGGAGAAGCTTTGGTGGCTGGTGGATCGGGTTCGCCGGGGATGGATTATGAAATGGAGGAAGGGGAGATTGTGGAGGAGGGTGGCGTGGTTGATTTTGCTAATGAAGCTTCTGGGAAGTCTAAGAAGAATCTGCCTTCGGATGTTGAGTCCGGGGAAATTGCGACGCATACATACGAGAATTCTAGCATGGTGTGTTTAGATTCCCCTCGCTCTTGATTTACATAATGTTTTGCTTTATGATTACGTGCCTGAAAAAACTATGAATTGATATGAAACTGCAATCAGTACGTTAACTTTGTAAACATAATGCATCTTTTAGTTTTTACTTATTATATGCTTATAATAATTTTCACTAGAGACCTAAAATGAGTTAGGTTAAATATTTTCTAGTACTGCAAGTGGCATTGAGATTCTCAGAAACAAATCAAAGCATATGGATTTTCTTGAATGGTTGTTGTAATGAGTTTCTGATAAGATTTTGTTAAACATAGTAAAATGATGAACTCTCTTACAACTATTCTGACTGCACTACACAGACCCAAGAATTTTATCGGTAGGGTGCTTTGCACTCCATAATTACATTTGTTGCCAGGCAAAGTTTCCCTAGGCGTTCCCACTTTCCAGAAGACTGAAATGATGGCTTTCAATTGATTGTAAGACTTGGTTATATGTCTAAACCTTTATGCATGCAGTACTAGTTTGAGCTATGTGCTAATTTATGGATTCATGTTTTTCTCTTTATATATTCTTCCTGCTAGGAAATTCACGGAGTGGAGGTAGAAAGACATGAAAAAAGATCGAGTAGATTGGTAAAGGACCAGGTGGATGGAAAAGAAAGTGGTGAGACAGATAAGGATGCATTAGCCTATCCCGAGGATCTGGTAAATGGGGATTGCCCACAGGATTTTCATAAAGCTGACAGTAAGTTTCTTGATGGGGATAATGAGAGGAAAAGTATGTACGTCGATGAATTTGAGCAAAGAAATCGGAAGAAGTCCTCATCTTCTGAGAAAAAAATGAAGGCTGTTTCATCGTCCCACTCTCATGAAAAACACATAAAACACAGTTCCCATAGTAATTTATCAAAATCACCAGACAGGTCCAGGAGAAGGTCCCGATCCCGAAGCATCGCACGAGGGGCTTCTGTGGAGGGCTACAAGGACAGCAAACATCACAGTGAATCTGATGATGAAAGGGTGAAGGAGCGCTCGAAGCACTATAGGCAAAGCAACAAAGATAATGTGATTGAGAAAGAAAGGCCGCGTAGCTCTAGTAGATACGCAGAGAGAAGAGAAAGGCATTACAACATTGAGACAAGGGATTCATACAGGGAGGGAAGTAGGGAGAGGCAAAGGGATCGGGATAGAATTGAGGAGGAAAGAGAGAGGAATAGACTTCATGATCGAGATAGAGGGGAAAGGGAACAGGAGCTGAAAGGTAGGGCTAGACACAAGGATGGGGAACTGGGGAGAGAAAGTTGGAGAGAGAAAGAAAGGGAGAAGAAAAGAGAGAGGGATGTAGAGAAAGATAGAATAAGAGAGGAGAGACACAAGGACAGGGAGAGAGATAAAGAAGGGGTTAGTTATGGTGGAAGGCCTGGAAGCAAAGATAAGGATAGGTACCATGGAAGTGACCGAATGGGCAGACACATGAGATATGGTAAGGATGGTGATGGTCGCAGAGATAGTGATGATGATTTTGGGCGCAGAAGGTATTATGAAAACGATCACGAAGACAAACCAACACGAAGTGAATTTGAAAAGTTGACCTCGAATAACAATCTCGAAAGGTATATAGCTTATAAGGTATTAGTTATGTTTGAGTATTGTTCTTCTCCTCAAGCTCATGTGGTTTGTTTTATGATTTCAATATTTCAGAGAAGATGACGGACAAGAGGACTATCAAGAAAAAATTGTTATGCAACTTGCAGAACAGGAAGAAGATGAGCTTGAGAAAATTAAGGAGGAAAGCAGGAGACGCACACAAGCTATTCTTGAAAAGTACAAGAATCAACAAAAAAATGATTCACAAAATAGGGGTAAGATTATATTATGGTTTTGTTCTCAACTTTTGTCTGGTGGTATCATTTCCTAGGTTCTTTTGACATTTAAGATGTTTGGATAAGCTGCAAGGCCTTTCTGGTTGAGCTTTTTCTCAGAATGGAATGTTGTCAGAGTTCCGGTTTCTGGATGATCATCAGCTTTTGTTTTTTCATGCCGCATTTTTTATTGTTACTTTAATACCTAAATATAGGGGTGTGCATTCGGTTGGTTCGAACTGAACTTTAAATTTTGATCGATTTTTGGTTTAAAACCGAACAAACCAAATTTTTATTTATTAATATATAACTTACATTTACGGTTAAATACAAATACTCAAAATTATAATATATATTATTTATTAATATATAATTTTATTTTTTTTAGAAAGTTACATTTTTTCGGTTAATCAAAATAAAAAATTGAAAACCATAATCAAACTGAAACCGAAATTTTCAAATTCGGATTTGGACTGAATCGAACAAATTAACCGGATGGTCCAAATCAAGCAGTCCGAACCAAAATAAAATTTCAGTTTTTTCAGTTTGGACCGACCAATGCTCACCCCTATCTAGATACTATTAAATATGTAAACTTTAATAATGAAGTTTCTGTTATTATATAACAGAGTTCAAGATAGATTTCTATATTAGGTGGGGTGATGTAATTAATGGATTTAATCAGATTGCATTAATTACTGTTTTTTCTTGATGTCGAAAGTGGGTCTGTAATATTGTCTTTGATAATCTTAATGAGATTTATTATCTGCTTGTTGGAGTTATGAATGGCGGGCGTTGGCACAGCCTCTGTGTCATTTATTATGGTGCGCGCTCCTGAGGCCATGGCTCAAGACGAGATTATTTTATTATTTATTTATCTTTATTAGGGTTAATGAAGGTTTATTATGTTTTTATTAATTAGATAATGATATGAAAAAGTTATATTCAATCTTTCTTTCTTAGTTTCTCCCGCTAATAGTCGTTAGCTCTTTCTTAGTTCCTTCTTGCCTCTCATTACTTCTTTCCATCTCAACCACGCCACCATTACCAGTGGTCAACTGCCAGGCAAGGAACCGATTGTTATTCTTGTATACTATTTTATATCTTTTTTAGACTTATATGTTATATTTTGTTGTGTGTTTATTGAAGTCCCACGTGTTCAATTATTATATATATTATTATGCTATACATGTTTATTATGTGCATATATATATGTGTGTATTGTGTATATTATGAACGCATTAATAGTTATGGTGCACCCTTTGCACCATTTACAACTATGATTTGGGCGTGCGCCTATGTTTCTCATAATTCTTACCTTCTCTGGTCCAGTTGAAGATCAATTTAGAGAGTCTTCTGCACAAATGGCATCTGCTCAAGTTGTTGTAGAAAAACCTATCAATCGATTGGAAGGCACAGAGATTTATGTTCCTGAGACATCCTTTTCTGTGGGGAAATCCCCATTGCACAATGGTCTTTCTGCTATGCCCTCTGGAACTGGCGGACTAGGAGAGGGTTCCCCCAAGGTACTTCTTTTGTCACTCTTCCATTGCATTTTAGTTTCCCTCATCTATATGATGTCATTCTCTTCTGGATTTTCATTTGAATGAAATGCTGTTATCAAAGTCTCGTAGAGCCTGACAATCCCCATTTCTATTTGTACACTGCGTACTAGATTATAATTAATAGTTTTGTTAAATTTTGCAGAGTGAGAGGCCACAAGATATGTTTTGTGATGATATTTTTGGAGAATCACCTGCTGGTGGCCATAAAGTGGTTAGTCTCAATTTTTTTTGTTAATTTGATGTCATTCCAGTTGTAAGGTTGTGTTTTCCACGGTGTTTAAGCTATATATCCATGTTGTGTGATGTTAGGCGTGCATTATTCTTCATTAGAATTTTCATGATTGTATTCTTCACAGGGAAAAGGTGATGGTGTAGCTGTTGAGAAGAGTGGACTTAATGACAACTGGGATGATGCAGAAGGTTACTATGGTATGCATTTGAACACTGGTTTTTGTACTCTTTTGATATTGAATCTATTGAGCTTTGCTCTTTTATGCTTTTAGTCGTTGTTGGCTCAATGAAGTTCATCGTTTCTATGTGCATTCTTAGAACTACTACACTACTAAATGCTTGTGGCTGTGCCTGTGTTTACTCAACTTAGTGCTTGATCAAAAGCTTGTCATTTTTTCAACCCAAATTTTGGTCAATTCAGTAGCCATTGAATTATCACTTTTAAGAATGAATTTTTAATTATTTATTTTATTTCATGGTTAGGTTACCGTTTTGGAGAAATACTAGATGGTCGGTATGAAATAATTGCTGCCCACGGAAAAGGTGTATTTTCTACTGTAGTTCGCGCAAGGGATCTCAAGGCGAAACTGGGTGATCCTGAGGAAGTGGCAATTAAAATCATCCGCAATAATGAGACAATGTATGTAACCTATTATTGTTGCTGCCACTGCTGTTATTTGCATTTTATTACTATTATTATTATTATTATTGTTATTATTATTATTATTATTATTATTGTTATTATTACCATCATCATCATCATTATATATTTTCTGTAAGTTTCTCTTAGGACACCAATTATTTTTGTAGTTACCGATTGCATGAGTTTTCTCTGTTTTCAATATAGGTACAAGGCCGGAATGGAAGAATTGGTCATATTAAAAAAGTTAGTTGGTACGGACCCTGAGAACAAGCGACACTGTGTTCGTTTTCTTTCTACCTTCAAATATCGGAATCATCTCTGTTTAGTTTTTGAATCTCTTCATATGAATTTACGAGAAGTTCTCAAGAAGTTTGGTCGTAATATTGGTTTGAAGCTTACTGCTGTGAGGGCATATGCCAAGCAACTCTTCATAGCATTGAAACATCTGAAAAACTGCGGTGTTCTCCATTGTGATATCAAACCAGATAACATGCTGGTATGCCATTGATTTCGTATCAATTCTTCTAGCTACTTTTAGATTTTAATCTCTTTGTTATTTTCTAATCCCTCTCCCCATAGGTGAATGAAGCCAAAAATGTTTTGAAGCTTTGTGACTTTGGCAATGCCATGTTTGCTGGTAAAAATGAAATCACCCCTTATCTTGTCAGTCGTTTCTATCGCTCCCCGGAGATCAGTAAGTGATGCACTTTTTTCTTTTCAATGTTGGTCTATATTTAATTGGTTTAAATATTTCTCAGCTAAATGACGGGTATTTCCACATGTAGTTCTTGGCCTTCCATATGACCACCCCCTGGACATTTGGTCAGTTGGGTGTTGTTTGTTCGAGCTTTACACAGGGAAGGTTCTGTTTCCGGGGGCTACCAACAATGATATGCTTCGACTTCAAATGGAACTGAAAGGTCCTTTCCCAAAGAAGATGCTCCGGAAGGTGAGGACAAATTTTTATTAATTACCATCTGGAGTGGTATTCTGCTGAAATTTGTCTCCCCTTATAGATTGTCAACTTCTTTACCTCTACAGGGAGCATTTACAGATCAGCACTTCGACCAGGATCTAAATTTTCTTGCAACAGAGGAGGACCCTGTGTCAAAGAAGGTCAATACATGGCTGACCTACCTGTCTTTCTTCCCATTTAAAACCTCATTTTCAATTTAAAACCGTGAATCTGGTATTTTGTTGAGTATTGATTCTTTTTTTGCAGACGATAAGGAGACTGATTATAAATATCAAACCTAAGGATTTCAGTTCTTTAATTTCGGGCTCCCCTGGTGAGGATCTGAAAATGGTAGCTAATTTTAAAGATCTTATGGAAAAAATATTTATCTTGGATCCAGACAAGAGGCTCACTGTTTCTCAGGCCTTGAGCCATCCTTTCATCACGGGCAAGTGAACCATGAAGCTGATTTCTGACTACAGAACTGCTGTTGCATTAGATACTTATGCATTTTGGTGTTGTCACAGTACTGCATTAGCTATCTGTCTTTGAATTCTGATTCTGAGCAAGGATTCTGGAGACACTGATCAGGAAGGCAATTTACTTGGAGTTCATTCCATGGATTGTTTTCTGTTTCTATTGTAAGAAACTCACTGAAGGCGTATTTCTCTTTAATCTGTATTAATTCTTAATATAGTTGTCAAGAGATGAAACAATGTTGTTTTCCTATAACTCTATACATTGGACCTGATTCCAACAGTTGGAGGCATTATTTACCTCTATAGACATCAGGAAAATCATCCCTCATCCATACTTATGACATGTATCTATTGCAGCGTGTGGTTTTGACCCTTTATATTGTGTCTGTATCGAAAAGTTGGTACTATTCATTATGATTACCACACTATATCCTTTACTACCAGGTGGTCTGCTTTTAGAATGGCAGTTTCCCTTCTGATTTTTCCTTCCTATGAATTAATCACCCGACACATTTTCATTTTCTTCTGTGTATCTGTTTTTATTTCCGATGTTGCATTTTGGGTTCTTTAGAGTCTAATCGTATCCTTAATTCAGGAAATATCTACCCGTGCTTTGAGGGAACCATTCAAGAAACCATGTAGAAGGTAATTGGTTTGTTTATTGGGAGTACACTTTTGCAGCGTTAATTATGTGTGCTAGAATATGTATAGAATAATTTGTTATTGTGTTAGTTTTTTCTTAAGGAATATTTGGTTTTTGATGTTTCATACTTATTCTGCAGTTAAATCTAATTGGCTCAATAGTCTCTTACCCTTTAATAGTATTATGACTCTTGGGGTGTGTTTATTTTGTAGAATGAGATTATAATCGATAATATTATTTTACTAGATTATATAATTATAAGATTAATTAATATTATGTTTAGTTTGATTGATTAAATATGTGATTAGGTTGGATAATATAACATTATCTATTCTAATTATCCCCAGAAGTGTGAATGTGCTAAAAAAACTCGGTATGCGCTTCTTGCTGTCTGCATTGATTTCGGACATTATATGTCAATTTTGAAAATCATTGCTTATGTTTACTTATGTACGTAATGATGTATGTCTGACCCATGGTTTGGTTGTTCTGGAGGATTTCCTATCTGGTGATGTTTGGATGGTGCTGTGAAGTCCTGAAATATTCTGTAAGTTGCTTTAATATTATGACCTTTAATTTTGTTTTGTAGGTTTTTAGACTGCTAATTATTGCATCTTTGGTGAGTACCCAAATTTCTCTTATCCTCATTTATTATAAAAGATGGTCCCTAATCATTTTATGATTCATGTAGGTTAGAAGTATTTTTCTTGCATAACCAATTTCTCAAAATTATGGAATTATGAATCTAGTTTTATAAGATCACCATCTTTCTTGATTGTATATGGAATATGGATGGCAACAATTCTTCTTTTCATGCTACACCATCTTTAGTTAATTTACTGTTTTCATTTTTGTGTATCCTTTTTCAAGGTTCTTATCAAAGCAGCTCAAATATCTTGACAATGCATTCAGTCATAATCAAGATAATGAAATTATCCTGGATGCAAATGGTACAAAAATTAGAGGTTTGTGGTGCATAGATGTTTAGAGTTCCCATTTTTCATGGATATTTTTTGAGGGCCGGCTTATTTGTGCTTAGATCAATTTCTGAGCATTTGTTGTTACTTATGAGCAGACAATTGATTCTTGCAAAAAGCTTTCAAATATTTAGAAAGATGGAATAGTGTTCACACCATCTCAAGAACCAAAGTGGATTGTGGGATTTCCTGAAAATCACCCTGCCTACTACTTTTGTGTTGTAATTATGACAGTATTCTGCAGCTAACTGATTTTACAAGAATAAACTGGTTTGGCTTGCAACCTGACAAAAGGATGTCGCAGGACTTGGTAAGCACATTGTGCGCCTACAATTTTGAAATTGTCCCGTTGTAATATTTTTCTGGTTTCGACGTACTTAAAATCCTTCATCTTTCATGGTCTTTTTCCTTTGGCTTTGTGTATATTCATTTGAGGCTGAATTGTTGTGTTGTAGGTTTCGTTTCTGCCTTTTATCATAGTTTTTTGGGTTGTAGGCCTTGCTGCTTTATTATACCTAGTTCATCATGGTTCTAGGATTCTAAGTAATTTTAAGCATGAGATTTTTTTGATTTGCATGTGTTCGTAATTTTCTTGGAATATTTTCGTAGCTAGCTGGAAATGTTTCTTGTGTTGTTGTTTCATCGTCAGCACTAAGATTGTAATTTGATCTTTTAGATACCCCTTTACGTTTGGGCCGGAATGATTTCAGTTGGCCATTTTCAGCCCTCGTATGCCCCGTATTTATAACTCTAAAATATGGGCAATGCAGTATAAGTGGGCCCTAAACAGGTCTATAATTGCTATTGGACCACTTTTTATTGTTTCTTTACATGCTCAATTAAAATAGGCCTTGAATATGAACAGGTGGCGGCCTATTTAAAAATGGGTTCAATAATAGGCCTCTAATATGGGTGTAGGTAATCCTTCAATATGGACGATCACTTAGATCGGGCCGTGTGCAATTGTCACAGGTTAGCTCTTCTTCAGTATTGGCCCACGTGGATGTTCGTTGAATATGGGAAAGCCGATGGGTCTTGCTGGGCCTTGAATCTGGCCAAGCCCAATTTTTACCAGTCTTTCTTAGGTTTTTGTTCATTAGAAGGCCCAATCTTTCTGAAATAAGTAGGTCTTACTCTGCGCTAGTCTGATGGGCCATGTTTCTTCTGCCTATTAAATTTATGGGCTAAATCATTCTCGAATGGAGTGGGCTTTACTACAGGAAAATTTTATGGGTGCTAATTGGGCCTATAAACAGAAATTTGGGTGCTAATTGGGCCTATAAACAGAAATTTGAACCAACATATAATTATGGGCCGCAACATTGGACTTCTTTAAATTCCAACGTCCATATGTGCCCCCCACCAACTGGACCTATAGGGCACCTTTGGGTCCACCCAGTTTGGACCTCCCCATAACTAAATGGTCATGAAGTCCCACTTGAGGCCCAATGTAGATTTTCGTATCTCTCATGAATTTAGGCCCATAGGTGATGGTTGGGCTGATGTTACGGATTTGAAAACATGGCTCATTATTAACTTGGATGATTGAGAGTTTGATACGTGGTCTCCTTCTAAACCCACCATCGGGACCGGACCCCTCGTCTCGATCAGATTTGCTCTCTGCATTGACAGCGTGACAGCTTTGCGGGGGTGGTCTGTGCCGGAGATGATATCATGTGCCATTCCATTTTGCTGCTCCAGGTCTCCCCCGGCAGTCACATTAACTCCATTCGAACCGCTTCGAATTTTCAGTTACAGAGCTCGTGTTTTGCTTTCTGGAGAAGGTCCAACAGGTGTCTCCTTTAACGCCGATGGCCAGAAGAAACTACTACGTAAATCGTCCCCTTTTGCAGTGAGTGCTGACATTTATAGCTCTCGACGGAAATCTGTTTATCTTAAAACTGCAGCCACAAGCGGCGGGGACGGCTCAGTGTCAGAGTTGAATAATAATGTGAGGCGATTACTGCGGGCTCTTCTGTGGTTTGCGGAGGGTGTCTACATCTTTTGGCTTTTCTTTCTTCCCTACGCCCCTGTAAGTATACGGCAGTCTTTTTAGTTCTCTTTATTATTGTTAGCTGTTCCACCCTATATTTGGTTGTTGCCCTTGATACACAATATAGTTTTAACTTTTTTTGTTAGAAGTTTCAAATGTTCTCGTGCTTAATGCAGGGAGATCCCGTATGGGCCATTAGTTCAGAAACAATCAGCTCTCTTATTGGTCTTTCTCTTAATTTCTTTTTCATTCTGCCGCTGTGCAACTCTGGTAATATTTAATGATTGCAACTTTAGATGAGATCGCTACCGTATAGTTTTTATTATAAAAATGTATCTTAATCACTTGCACAACTGGATGTTGGCAGTGCAGTTGGTGTTAATCTAGTTACGGCACCAGTTCTCCATCCGGTGAGCTTCAATTCTTAAAAAAAAAATTACATTCTAGGGTCAATATTCTGCATCCTGTTTGTGACTTAATCCAATTCCAGTCTTTTTTTGGTTTCCCTGTTTGTTGAATTTAACATTCAATCAGGTGTCTGAAGGCTTGTTCAACTTTGTGATTGGGTGGACAGTATTGTTTGGTCCTTTGCTATACTCAGATAAATGGAGAGATAAATTCAAGGGATCACTTGATGTTCTATGGGGCTGTCAGTTATTCCTCACGAACAGTATGCTTCTTGTCTAACAGCACATTTTTGGCATTTGTTAAGATTCCTTCTGCCTCAAGAGAAAAGGAAATTATCTTGTTTGGTCATACAAACTCTGGGATTTAGCCACAAACTTTGTCACATGGATGGCGATTGTCGTTGACCTGCATCATTTTGCTCTTAGTCGATTCTTACTGAGGCTTCATATTTCTCTGTTGCAGCATTCTTAATTCCTTACATGGCGATCCGTTTGAACAAGATGGCTAACGGTGAATACACTCCAAGGAAAGACACTATGCTTGGTTCCATTATGACAACAAGCGCAAATGTTGTTGGGCTTGTTGGTGGTGGTGCTTGCTTGCTGTCGATATTATGGGCACTTTATGGGCGCGGAGATTCTAATTATGGTGGAATACCGGAAAGATGGGAGTTTTTACTAAGTTATATAGGGACAGAAAGGCTTGCTTATGCCTTCATTTGGGATATTTGCCTCTACCTTATTTTCCAGCCATGGCTGATCGGAGACAACCTTCAAAACATTCAGTCAGATAAAGTTGCAGTTGTTAATGCTCTAAGATTCTTCCCAGTAGTTGGCATCGTTGCCTACTGTCTTTGCTTAAATTCTGACAATGAGATGTAGTCAATATATCCATTTAATAATATCTGCTGCTGTTATATGCCCTTTTAATTTAGATTGATATGTGTTATTATTGCTTTGATTGATTTGAAGCAAAGTTATTTGAAACGTGACTTGGATTTAGCGGATTAGCCGACTTAAAACCAAAGCGAAAGGGCTGTTTCAATTGGCAGGGTTCTTTTTAGATTTATCCTAATTAATAACAAATAGGCTTAGGGTTTAGGGTATTTTGGGTGCTTATAAATAGACAACTATGGTTTTTAGTCGGACGACATATTGTAAATCTCTGAATCAATATAATAAAATCTCTTCGGTTCCTGCCCGTAAACGCAGGTTGACACATCGTTACCGAATCTAAAACGTCTGTTTTCTTTATTTGCTTTCTATGTCGTTTTCTGATAACAGGTATTTAGTGAATCTTCCCAACATGACACTCTTTAAACAAACTTTCTTCATCAGTACCTCAAATAATTGAAAGAAAATGATTATTAATATTATATTCCAGGGATAAGTTGAGCTATATTTAACTATACAGACAATGATTCGTAGTGGCAGACAAGACAATGGCAGTGATTGATTAATGGACGAAATTGGTTATGCAACTGATCAATTCATTAGTCCGAGCCTGGGAGAGTGCAGATTTGTTGAGGATCTGAAAGGCATGGCCGACACCTTTGGAGATAATTACCTGTTCCATTCTTACCCCCATTTGGCTCCCTAATTTCCCACACACTTCACCACTCCTATCCTTCAATATATCCATCTCCGCCACGCAAACCATCGTTCTCATCGCCGCCGCCGGCACCACTTTCCCCGCCGCCGGATTGCACCACGGATGGTCCCGATTAGCCCCCGCCGGCAGCGACATCCGCCAGTACGCGTCTGACGCCGCCAGCGTCAGCGCCGACCGCGGCGACTGCGCTGTGTACTTCTCCGAATTCGTCCTAGCCTCCCCTCCGAAAAATGGCTGTATTAAAATCAGGCCCTGGAGAACGACGTCCGGCGGCCTGTTGGGCCTCGTCAGGGCCACGTGGAAGGCGATGTTGGCGCCGGCGCTGTCGCCGCTTAAATAAATGCGGGAGAAGTTGCATTTATTAGCCCACCATTCGCTGCTGCTGACGGATTCTTGCTGTCTCAGCCAAATCAGGGCTTTGACGCCGTCGTCGTAGGCCGCCGGGAGAGGGTTTTCCGGCGCCAGCCTGTAATTCACTGACAGGATGACGACATTGGATTGTGATGCCAATTTGGCTAGGAAGTCGTGGTAGCAACTCCAGGCAGCGGAGCCGACGCAGAATCCTCCGCCATGGAAGTAGACTAACAAAGGGAGCTTCTTTGATTTTGAGGAATTCGGGACATACAAGCGCGCCCAAACGTTGGTGTACTTGTCGATGGCGATGTCCCTGCAGGTGATCCCTAGCTCCGGCGGCAATGTCGGCGGGACACATGGCACCATCTGGGGGCGTTCCACGTGTCCATCCTTGTAAACCCTAATGAGGCCTTCGATTTCCTCCACCACGACATTGTTCTGGGGGTCTTTGCTGCGAATTAGGGCAAGCGGACTCTGTCTCGGGTCAAGAGCCGTGGCAGCCATTGATCTTCTGAATCTCCTGATCATGAAAAGGAAAAATATATATATATATATATATATAGCAGCTGCAGTTGCTGGTCTGAATTTATTGATACTATTATTGTTGTAGTGTAATTTTCTTGTGGCAAAATGGGGACTCAGTTGGGGGTATTTATATAGGAACGGAATGATGATAGAGATAAGATTGGAGGTGGGACATCACTGTCGACGATTTAAATATTAGTATTTGATTAAATCTCTCATCTTTCTCGCCTATTGGCTATTTGGATGCCGCCACGTGTCGCGATATGGAGTGGCCCAGGTTAAACTATAATTACAGGAATGAACTAGAAGTCATTAGCTTTAATTTAATTTAATTTATATAAGCGACAACAAAGATGGGGAAAAAGAAATACTATATTTCTTTTGCTTCCATGTTTTTCAATTATAAACAGGATTAATGAGAACACACAGCACAATTAATAGATACAAAACTGCAATTATATTGCAAGGCACTACGCACAGAAGTGGGGTTATACACACCCACACAAATTATTTGATCAGGTCAGAAATGGCGTGCAATTAGAATATTAATATATAACAAGATTTGTAAGTAATCAATATATAATAATAATAATAATATGAAATGCATGCATTATGGAGAGGCTATAATTGAATTAATGCATGTATGTTAAAAAAGAATAATTAAAGATTTTCTGGTGGGGGGCAAAACAAGCACAATGGGATATATGACAGATGTAAGCTGACACCATTATTGTGTAGCTGAAGAAATGTAATGGTATTGGTGGCGTACTATACGTTTTCAAGTCAAAAATTGGACAGCCTAACTTCTGGTTGTCCCCCATTACATGTATCTCGTCTCCTGTCAGGGGCACACACACAGACGTGTATATATATATATATATACATATTAATTAATTATTAATAGGGTAGTTGCACTATTGTTGATCTTCTTAATTCCTATGACGATTCTTTTGACAAACTAATTAATTAAAGGAATCAACTACACTTGCGGGATTCCTCGATCAATAGTGAATCCAATCCAATTAAATGTCAAGGGCAAGTGGGGATTATTTGAATTTGGGAGAAAGAATATTTGCAGGTATATGTACGTATGTGTGCGTGTGCGGCAGAATCAGCGGAGAAGAAAGAGTGGAGAGAACAAAATCTTGCAAGTAAGTACATGCATGCAAATGGGATATCTATAGATATATCCTCTTCTGATCTTTATTCTTACACTTCTTTTTGACCAAATGCTGTCTAAGTCTAACGCTAGCCATACGGATTGCACGTGACCCAATCTCCCAACGCTCTCTCCGAGCATCAGATTCTCATGATAAAGTTGGGAATCTTTCCATTTACCATTTGTTTGTCGTTATATATTCCACTATTTTATTTTTTCGCTTCAAATAAATCATGGATCTACGAATTTGTTAAAATCAGGGGTTTTTGAGTGTTTGAATACCATATTCATTTGGGTAATTAAACCCACATATCCACAAAGCTAAATTAATACAGTAATTAATTAATTTGGGGAGTGATAATCACAATATAGGTAAAGATAGGTTTATTACAAACAATCCTTGATCATATATATATATATATATAAGGCGTAGGTGCACGTATACATATATGCGTTTAATTTTAAGGAACCCTGGAAAAGCTGCAGACACATTCTTGCAGAAAATCAAATCTTGACCAAAACCTGAGGGTGAATATCGTGCATCTTATCCCATATATTTACTTACATATACATATCTTTAACTTGTGTCTGTCACTCTGTCTCTCTCTCTCTCTCTCTCTATATATATATATATATATTCCTTGGAGAGATAGGTGATGATGAAAGATGCTGATGCATTGTAATCAGAACTGTCCACACAACAATAAAGACAACGTCGGCAGAAGAGAAGCTTTCTAATTTTGAATTTTTGATTCGAACGATCAATCCGATCTATATTTTTTAAATGGCCGATTACATGATTAATTTAGTTACAAGAATTACTATTTATGATTGCTAAGTAAATTCTTTACTTTGGTTAATTATATGTCTGTGCAAATATATGTTATGAAACTTTACATCTCTTACAATAGATATTTGACTATATTAACAAAAAGTGGAAAACGTGATAAGAATAATTAAGGGCGTGTTTCGCAATTAGCTGATAGCTGTTAGCTGATTCAATTAGCTGGTTTGACTAGCTGATTCGATTAGCTGTTTGTATTAAAATGTTTGATAAAACAACTGTTTGATATTAGCTGTTTATACGTAAAATGTAAAATGTAAAATGACAATTGAGGACATTTCTATTTTATTCTTGTTTCTAATATATTCAATTATTATTATTATTTTTTAATTTAGAATGTTTAAAATTTTTTGTTATTAGTTATTGAAAATTGTAAAAGTGTTATAAAAGTATTTATTTTTATTACAGTTAGATTTAAAAAATAATATATATTTATTAAAATATATAAATAGTTTTTTTTTATTGAAAATGATGTAAAATATAAAATAATAAAATTTTCGTGTATATATTTATTATGTTAGTTATCGATTAGTTCATTATATTTATAATTTTCAATAAATTTAATTTATTTTTAGTATAAAATTTATATAATGTAATTTTAATAAAAAAATAAATTATTAATATTAATATTTTTTATTTTATGTTGATTTTAATAAATTTATATATTTTACAATTAAAATAATTTTTATATAAAAATTAATTATTTTAAATTTATAAAAGTAAAACTATAATATAATAAAATATTCTAATATAATTAATAAATAATCAAAATATATTTATTTGTGTAAAATTTATAATAAATTTTTAAGGGCATATAAGGAATGAAATTTTTTTTTTTTACAGAAAAAACTATTTCAAAATGCTAAGTAAGTTAGCTTTTCAGAAATTAGCCTTTTTGGTCCAAAAAACTAATTTACCAAACACCTAAATTAGCTTTTTATTAGTAAACAGATAAAAGCTATTCAATAAGCTAAAAGTTCTTAAAAAACTATTTGCCAAACACCCCTTAATACTTTAGGTAAGAATCAACAAATTTTGAGTTTTAGCACTATTTCTATTTTTTTCTAAAAATATTCTTTCAAACATTTTTTTTTTCTTTTGCAAATATCACAATTAATATAAAATCATTTTTAAAATTTCAAAGTCCTTGAGCAAACGGGCCAAAATTTAGGAAGCATAATAAAATAAAAAGAATATACATATAGAAAATTAGAGGAATATCCGATTTAACCTGTCCACTTGCAGATGAACCAAATACTTACCAAAATCAAAATCAAAATCTTATATATATTCTCATAACAGAGGAAAAAGAGGAAAATCTTGGTAGCACAAGAAAGATATATAGAAAAGACTGATGGTATCATTTGGGGGCACAAAAGCATGTCAATGTTTTCAATAATCCAATCCAAATATTTAGATGGAATATTATCCCGATTAAGGCTCTCTCCGGAGTTTCAAAGTTTTGAAATATTTTGAAAATAATAAAGAATTAATATCTTATTTGATATTATGTAAGAAAAAAATATATATTTAATTTGGTATTTTTACAAATATTAAATACTGTTAAAATTCCAAAAATACTATATAAACAAAGCCTAACTCTCTCTATATGTATGTAGATAAATAAGTCCTAAAACTATTTGGATACTATTTGAGTGACCTAATGATAATATCAAGTTAGGGCTTGTTGAATTGTTTGATATGCCTTGAGAAAATGTTTTAGTTCTTATCAATTTTGGGTAGTAGGTAGAATCTTCAACTAAAAAGGAAAACTAGAATTATTTGAGATCATTAGAGCAAAGTAATTAAAGTTTTGAAATATTCAAATTCATTAGACCAAAGTAATTAACGTTTTGCAATATTCAAATTCATTAGACCAAAGTAAAGGGTTTGTTTGTTTAGAATTAGTGTTTTGATTCGATTTTTCTTTTTTTTTTTTTAATATGAAATATATAAAATTATGTCAGTAATATAAAAATAATAATATTTTATGTAAAATATTAATTTTTATAAAATAATATAATACAATATATATATTGAAAATCGTATCGTAAGATAATAGACAAACAAATCCAAAATTTTGCAACAATCTTCAACAAGGAAGTGTACACAAGTAAGCCGTAGAACTATAACCATATAAAAATCCATAACAACCTAATAATAATATATGTTTATAAAAGTGAAATTTATATTTACATATGTGAAAATGTTTGATATTTCTTTTGAAAAAAAATGATACGAAGAATCTTGAACTAACATATAGAAAATTCTATATATAGTTATGTAGTTTGTTATCAGAATTACACTGAATTTTTTAATTTACAGCAGTAGGAATATGTTTTTTCAATGAACTTTTTTTTTAAAAGAAAAAAAAAAATTATTATTTGAATCCTGTATTTTTTTTTTAAAAAAAAAACTTGCCCTAAACTATATATATAAAGGTGTTATGAGCCATTGCAATATTGGAATTCATCATGACATAGAGGATAATTTAAATTTAACGAAAAAAGGTTACAATTCTAGGAAGGATCTCCGATAGAAATCGAAATGGCAACAAGGTTTGACTTGGTCTCTCTGGCAACAGTTGAGGCCAATAACCAAAGTTTGAGTTCGACATTGTCGTCCTCTATAAATTAATAAACATTGACCATTTTTTAATTTTAATTTTAATTAAAATAGTAGTAGTAATAAGTAGCGGGCGGATCTACCCATGCTTGGGTACAAGTTAGTTATTAAGTAATCAATAGCATCATCCAGTCAAGTCAACTATTCCTTATAATTACCACAAATAAAAATATGACTAAGAGAGACAAGTCAACTAACCCATCATTCACTGCAATCTTGCCCTACCTACCTACCTACCTACCTACCTGCACCTTGCATATAGCTAGTACTTCCTCCCCCAACATATTTGCTTGTTAATGTTTCTTTTTGGTAGTATATTGTAGATAATTTAAAACTTTTTATATCTCCTTGTATTTTTATTAATTATTTTTAGAATGATAAACGAAAAAAGAATATTCAAGTAAAACAACCCAAGAAATTGCAAAATGTTTGCGAGAGACGTTGAGTTATATATAGCCATAGATTCGGTCCACATTAAAATTAATCAAAGAAGCACCAAGGTCCCTGGACCCCAACACCAGATTCCCGCACAAGTACAACCGAGTCAGTCACACTCGTCCCCCCATTGGGCGGGAGTGAGAGTCCATGGAGCTCTCTCGCTCTCCCAAGAATCAAAGAGTTTCTGGTAGGTGACGCGTTTATTCAACTCTCCAGAACTTACAGCTTTTCCACGCGTAAACAACTTGGAGATTCTTCCAATTCAAATTCAACGCGTTGCGTTGTGTTGTGCTGTGTGAGGAAACTTAGGAAGGAAGAAATACTCAATGCAATCTCACTGCGCGTTGACTGACGACTTCTCCAGCTTGTCCGAAACTGCTATATAGCTGTTAGCCTGCTATATATTTTATAGTTTATCCACCAGGCTAGAGCAAGAGCGAATCAATTTATCTCTCCCAATCCGGTCCTAATAAGATGGATCTGATTCAGCTGCAGCCGCCATTGCATTTGCAGTCGACACTACAACCTAGCTTGTTCGCTGATAACTGTCAATATGACGACGACGAAGACGATGTGTTCTACCTTGAGCTCAGAAAACAGGTCCTGCAACTCACAGAAGAATTAGATGATGAGGATGACGGGGGTTTCATTGAGAGTATTTCAGAAACGTCGATGAAGGCCCAAAAGCAAGTCCCGGAGCCCGATGGCAGCAGAGGGTTCTACGGTTGGTCCTGGCCTAGTCATACTCAGAAGGGGGCCCCACCTCCATGGACATCGAACTTATGGAGAATCGGGAATGCGAATGGTAATGGTAATGGAACAGGGGTTTTCATCCCCCAAACAGCCAAGCCCAGAAGAAGATGCAGATCATCAAGTACGTACCTCAATTACCATTCTATCTCATCTGAAATAACAAAGATTAATTAATTTATTGGCGTTTGAATTTGGATGCAGGAAGGAAGAAGAATGGAAGAGAAAGACAACTGTGCAAGCAGTTTTGAAAATATGAACTCAAGTCATGCTGCAGATATAGATTATATATAGATATTACTTCAATTCTTTGGTTATTTCAAAACATGTGAAATATATATGTATCTAAGATAGATAGTATATTTCTTGCTGTGTATTAGTATCTCGAATAAGTTAAGAATTGGAATAGAGACATGTTACTCTCAATTCTTTGGTCATACATCATTGTTGGTTTTGTCATACTAATTATGTATCCACCATATATTGGAGAAATAGAGAATTACAACCTAGTTGGATGGAATATTACAACTATAGTTACAGAGCAAACTATCACAACAAAAACATCTTATTAAATATAAAATTCTAAAAAAACCAAAGAACGATGGCCGTATTTATCTTGAAAGTGGAGTGGCTGTTTTTCGTATAATTGAAGCCTTAATCAGAATGTGCAAGTGGAAATAATTACATACTATTTGTGAGGTCAGCCTATGGATTTACCATTATTTAATGCCAAGCCCACGAGAAAAAAAAAAAAAGAGTAGAAAATAAATAGAGTAAAGTAGAGGGATGAAAACGAAAATTCTTGCACTCAGCAACTATTGGATTTGAAGCCAATTTGAGAATTAGCAAGATCGTAACTGACACGAGTCCCTTGCTGCTGAACATTCCCCAGAATCCCCGGCGACGACGACGTCGGGGCGAATGCGAAGCAGAAAGTCCCCGTCGAGTCGACAGGAATCATGTAATTCTTCGCCGGAAGTTGCAGCTCCTTCCCGTTCGAGAACTGGAACGACACCGTCGGAACCTCCACGCTCTTCAGCGTGCTCAGATCGTAGCAGGTGTCGAACAGTGCCACGCCCTCGATTAGCTTCAAATTCCCCGTGCCCTTCTTGAACGCGTCGCGCATCGCATTGTACGCCTCCGTTCCCAGCCTCGTGATGGCTGTTCCCGAATCCACGATCATTCCGCCGTCGCCGTTCTCGTCCAGCCGGAAAGTTGACGCCGGAATCGAGAGTAGTTCTCCAGCGACGCTGATTCCTGTTATGTCCAGGTAATAGAATGTGTCGAGCTTCGAGTTACGGATTAGGGAAGCGAAAACGGTTGAAGCCGGCGGGGCGGAGTTGAACTCCAGCGTCGAGGACGAGTCAGAATCGCGATCCACAAGGCAATAAGAAAATGAGGAGGCGTTGATTTGAGACGGAAGGGATAATTTGCCGCCGCCTAATCCGATTAAGCCGGAGGCCGCGATAAACAGTCCTTCGTTGTTGTGTCCACAGCCCATAGCTACGTTGGGAACTGCAGCCGAATCGCTGAAAGTAATAGTCTCCGTCACGAAATCGCCCACGGTGTAAGAACCATCGCCATAGGAGACTTGATAGAGGCAGGTGTCGTTGCGGCACTCCGATAGTTCAAGCGATCTGCACTGCTCAGCCTCGCAAGTGAGGGGATTAAATGAAGAAGACACACCAGGGTTGAAAATCGGATCCGATTGCTGGTAGCAATCTGCGCAGGGCTCGCACTGCACCCAGTTGATATCACTACCTGTGTCGAGCACCATGTAAGCTTGAGTTGGTGGATTACCGATTCCGATTCTGCAAAAGTACTCGCCGCTCCCTAGACCGGTACCTGAAATCACTGGACCTTTGATCTTTTCTTCTTCTTCTTCTTCTTCTTCCAATGGCATCATATTAGTATCTGAACTCGCTAGATCTAACCGACTCTGAATCGCTTTTACTCTCGCCGAATCACGGGCCAGTCTAGTTAACGTTAGGGCTTGGTAGTCCTTCTCCGGAGATCCCTGGACGAACATGCGAGAATGCACCTGGAAACTGAGGGCGGAAACGGGAGAACCGACGGATCTTCGGTGGTGCTCTTGGTGCTTCGAGGGCAACACATTTTTCGAATTCAGTAAGAACAGCTCTTGAGTTTTGGATAGTGCTGCAGAAATGTCAAGAACAGAGGTTTCAGAGTTCAGTGGGAGTGTTCTCGAAAGCCCAGAGGAAACCAAAACGGCAAAAATTGTGCATAGAATATCAAGAAAGAGTGATCCTATCTTCTCCATTGAAGGGTGAATGAAGGAGAAGGTAAAAGTGAACACGCAGCATCTTCTATTTATAGAGACAGCGATGCAGACAATCACGCAGGAGTTGTTTGTTGTGACAGGCAAACAAAATTGAAAGCAGGGGAAGGAAGCTTTGAATGTGCGGAAAAGGTTAGTCCATAGTTTAGTGTTAAATACAAGTTTCAAATATTAGATTTTGGCAATTCCATTCATTTCATCTGCGTGACTTGCGATTACTATCATGTCATGGAAAGCGTTCCATTTGATTTATTAATACTAATTAATCACCAGCACCAAACTGCTACTTCAGGACTTTCAAACATAATAATGATTTTGTGTGGGCTCTGTGGGGCAAATGTGGGTAAAAAACACAAAGGGGCCAAGAACATTATTCTTTGAGTGTCACGTGATGGCTGCCTTTAATCTTTTTCCTTAGCTTATGTGATATTGCATCAATGTTTTGATTGGGGGCAAACTAGGAGTGGAGAATGGTGGGCCGAATGAATTATGTAGGTGACCGAATCATGATTTTCCAAGCTTCAGATCAGCATGTCTTTCTATCTTCTTTTCATTGCTGCCCGTGATTGTTAGTGATAAGTGAAGCACTTGACAGCTAGAGAGTTGAGTTGTTTGCGATTGATTTGGATATAACCAAAAAGGACTAATAATAACATTGTTGCTAGTTAGAGAATTTAGATATGAAACAAAAGAAATGGGATGTTATAGACAGACAGTAGAGAGAAAGTCTTTGAATGCTTCGTGTGCTGTATATGTTGACATACTTCTACATTGTTGAAGATTCAGACATTTCTTCTTTAAGGTTGGTGGGGTTGTTACTCCATGTATAGGACTTTAATGCTTAGGGTAATGAGCCAATATTACTACCAATATATCCTTGATTTTGGATTGCCAGAGTCTCCATAGTAAAGGACATTATTAACTACACCAACATTCCTTCTACTTAAATATGTAGTAATTATTTTTGGGTTTGTTTGTCCATAAACAAACATGTGTAGTAATTAGAAAATACTTTCAATTGAGGCAATGAGACTATGAGAGTATCATTTATGGGTTTGTTTGTCCTTTCATTTTTTTTTTCAGACATGTATATATATTATTTTATTACAAAAAAAATTAAAATATTGTTATTCAGTTTATATATTTTATTTTATCCAAAAAAAAAAAGAAAAATTCTTAATATATATATAATTTTTTCAAACCATTCTTGTTTAAAAAGAAAAAGATATAGGATAGTAAATTTCTCCCTTCATATATCTAAAAATACACATTGTTATTTAGTTTATATATTTCCTATAAAATTTATAATTTTTTCTTGTAAAATATTATTTAAAAATATTATTTAAATACAATAAATTTGTTTAATTGTAATTAAAATTAATTTAAATAAAATATTGATTTGAATTTATAATTAAATAACATGTATTTTCTTAAAAAAAAAAGTTGAACTTTGTATTTTCTAAAATAAAAAAAATACAAAAGTTTCCATCGATAATAAAAGCTAAACTCAAAGAAATAAAGCTACAAATATCTTAATAGGATAAAGTATTAAGGGGGTGAGCATTCGTATTTTTGGTTCGAATTTTATCAAATGTGAATCGATCTAAAAATTCGAAATTTTTGAAAAGACCAATTTGAATAGAACCGAAATCCGAAAATCCGAGCCAAATTGAAAAATCCGAAATTCTAAATATTTTTAATTATTTTTTTTATTTTTAAATTTGTTTTATATTTTATTATTATTTTATAATATTAAATATATAATATATAAAAATTAAATATATTAATATATAATTAATAATTTTGAGTTTTTTTACATTAAAATATAATATTTTTTAATAAAATATTAAATATATATAATAAAAAAATATATTAAAATATTATATTTCGTATTAGTTCGAATTTTAGTATATCAATCCGATTCGATTCTAAAATTCGAAATTTATTAAAAAAGTCAATCTGAATCAATCCGAAAAATCGTAACCAAATTAAGGGTGTGTTTGTTTGGGGGTTTGGATTTTGAGTTGGAATTTGAATAGTAAAAATTTTGAATTTGAATAGTTGTACGATGTGATATAAATAGGTATTATGTGATATTTTGAATATAAAATTGATTTTTAATATAATATAAAAAATAAAAAATTAAGTGTTTGACTTGATATTTTTGAAAAAAAAATAAATTAGATGAATAGTGAAAAAAAAGTTCAATCCGTGAAACAAACACACCCTAATATAATAGCTTCTTTGGTCCCATGTAATATGGCTCTATCACATAAAAGGTCAAATAGGATGGACAAAATATAAAATAGAAAAATATAATATAAAATTATTTGAGACTGATAAAATAGAAAATAAAAAAAAATAATGTAAAATTACGCGGGAAGGAGCGAATAGTATTTTTATTATAAAAAATGCCTTTTTTATTTTAAAAAAAAAAAACCCATCTTTCGCAAAGAGGGCGTTGACCTGAGGGAACCTGGACTCTAGAGCCCACGAAATAAGTCAACTATAGCATAATGGGCATAACGCTTCTGAATATCTACATATCCATACATATAATGCGTGTGTATAGGCCAATTTTACTGGCTTCTAATTCTATCCAAATAAAAATATATAATCAATTATTTTTTAGGAAATAGTCGTCTTCCATACAATATCGTTGATATAATTCTTTGTTACTTCGAGGAGATTACACATGAATATCGTTGCTATTTCACTGTTTCTGTTCTCAATTTGCAGTAGCCCTACAAGATCTTAGAGGAAAAGATAGGCTTTTGATATATGCGAGAGAGTGAGATTTTCTAGGGGTTTCTGGAATTTACGACTCCCTTCCCTCGCCCGCAATCATAGGATTTCTGGTATTCATCCAATCAAGGGAAGAAATCACATTGTTCTTGTGTGTTGCTTGGAATAAGATCTTGGAAGATGATGATATGCTACAGTGGTCTCGCCAAGTTGAAAACAAAGCCAGTACGTGTAACTGTTAATTCTTTTGCACTGTAACATTCCTTATTCTTCTCTACGTGTTTTACATTAACTTTTCCTCCAAAAAACTGATCACTGTTAGAAATTCTGTTATCTTGCGTTGCTGAGTGGAAAAAAGAATGATCTTGCATTGTGTTAGAATTGAAAGCAAATTTCCTGGTTCATGTTCTCAATTACCCATTGCTTTAATCCGATTGATGGAAGCAAAATTCTTGTATGATATTTTTTTCTGTGTCTGTATATGATCAAAATCACTGTTAGGTTGAATTTTGTTTTAGCAAGGAGATTGATTGTATGCTTTTGCATTTGCATTTGCCTTTGCCTTTGCCTTTGGCAGATAGTGTATCAGGATGTGCTCATTGCCAACAATTCTGGAACACTTCAACAACTTAAAGAGCTCAGTTCCAAGCGCAAGGCAATCGAGGATACCATTAATGAGAACAGCCACCTTACAGAGGCCATCGCAAGGGAAGTGCACGGAGGTCTAACATCACATTGTGAACAGGTGAAGAAGGAATTCATCATGTCTTTTGACGATTACTTGTTTAAATTTATTTTGTTTCCTATAACAGCCTGGTGAACATGCTTCCCAATCCATTGAAACTGTTTCAGGACATGCAGAAACTAGAACATTATATGCCTTTATTGGAGAACCTGATTCACTCCGTCAACGCCGAAGGAAACTGTGCTCAAATCACTTCCTGGATTTCAAACCTTAGAATAAGATGGAGCAGCTCTTTTACTACTTCATCAAACATCTTTAATGTAAAGGGTCCAAAATTCTATCAGGTCAATGACCTGTATTTCGAGCTTGGAATGATTCTTTTCCTCTATGGCTCAATACTTCGCGAGAGGGCTCTGGAAGTGTTATCTTCAGGCAAGCATAATCCTTAAACAATATCCTGATTTAACTAGAGCTTAGAGTGTTCAAATACCCATGTTTGTCATTGTAGATCTTGTGCAATCTGCCACAATTTTCAGAAGAGCTGCTGGAGTGTTCAAATATGTGGCTGAGGAAATACTTACTCATATATGTCAATCCGGGGACAGACCACCTGAAGCCATGCCTTGTACATCTGCCATCATGAGTTTTATTTGCTTGGCAGAGGCACAGGTTTGTGCATCTTTCCTGCTGTAGATTTTGAGTTGCTGCTAATACATGTTGATCCATATGAGACTGCTTTGTTCCCAAACATTCAGGCTGCAACTGCAAGAAAGGCTGAAGAAAATAATAGTTCGGGTGGCCTTATAGCGAAATTGCACTACGGCCTTGTAGAATTTTTGGACGAAACAATCAAGATGTTGCAACTCAATGGTAAAGAATGCAAGCCGGCTCGCCTTTTGGTATGTAAGAATTGCCTTAACTCTTGTGGAATGTGTGCTCATGATTGCTGAAAGCTTAAGAACCAATTTTCTGATTGACATAGGATTATGTTTTAAGTTGCAAGACATTACACAAACTGAAGTGTGACAAACACAGAGCGGATGGCCTAAAAAATGAAGGCAGAATTGGTGTTGCAATTGGAGTAGTTCACCGAGCATTAGCAAATGCTAAGAAATACGTACCAAAAGAAGAGTCGTGGCGATCAGTGCACAGACAGGCTGTCGGAGAGTTGAGTGAAGTGTTGAGAAGATATGAGCATGAGAATGAATTTGTATGGCATGAGAAGATCCCATGGAGTGATGAACTTCCTTTGCCTCAATGTGCAAAAATTGTGAGTGTTATCCCTCATCAACCCCAGCAATGGGAAGTAAAACTGTCATTCAAATCTGTACAGTGAGCACCTGCACCTCTTGTTGTGGGGAAGGCAGGGACCTCTTCACTTGGTTCGTTTTTTTTTTTTTTTTTTTTTTTTTTTTTTTTTTTATATTCTTTTTGGAACTTTGATCAATTGGTTGAGGTTGCTTGATTTTAAAAGACAAGGGAGAAGAGAAAGAAGCAAAGAAATCAATATTTGTCATTTATGTGGTAATGTGCGTGGTCTATTCATTTGCCAAACATTCAGATACAAATAGCAACAGCTCAATTAAAAGAACATATTCACTATCCTATCATCTAAAAGATCAGTTCAGACAGAAGATTCAACGTCAAGAACTTGCTTCGGATCAATCAGCCAGTTGGGATCCAATCAGCCAAACTAAACTCTTCTCCTTAATTAACACCATTACCAAATCCCACTATGTACTTTGTTTCCTCGCAGAAGTATCCCTCAGCAATCACCGGTCTATCGAAACAGTACCAAGATCAAAGCTTTATAGCTTGCTTGCACACGTTGAGTAAATCCCTTGTGAACTACAGATGGGGTGGATGTTTAAGATGGTTTTTTTTTGGGTGAGGAAGAAAGCAAACAAATTTGGTTCCATCAATCCATAGTTTGTTCTGGATACCATCTATGGTGGTAGATTAGCGGTTCTTATATCCGCCACATGGCAGCATCTGAATCGTCGGTTGATCTTCTTCTAGAACCGCCGTAAATATCGCCAATTTCTTCTGGAGTTACGTCTACCAAGTCTGCTCAGTCGAGGTGCAACTATGGCCTCTCAATGTAGTTGCAGTTGCAGTTCATTAACCTATTTCACCTGCAAACCTCGTGATGGAAAACCCAGGTCCCTGTTTCCCCTCGCGCATTTCTCGTCTCCTCACGGAGCTCCATTCCTCGTCAATTATAATGCTTTGAATCTCTCGGCTCCAAGGTTATCTCCTTCCCTCAGACATTTTGCAATAATTCGAAATTATATGCATGAAGTGCTATCCATAAAATAGCAATGGGTAATTTAGGTTATCGAAACTGCAATTGCCCCTCTTTCTTTTTTCAATTTCATAACAGTTTAACATTGTTTAAGTGCAAGACGATGGTGGAATCCGTGCTTATTAGGTATTTCACAGATTGAATAAAGGAGTCTTTGCTCTAGTATCAGAAGAAAAAGTGATAGATTCTAGCGATTCAGGGGCTGATGATATCTTCCGACTCACTTATTTAGAGGTAGCACTCTTGTTTCGGTTGAGTGGATTGATGATTTAACGGATTTTTAGTTCAGGAATAAATAAATTTTCTATCTGTGGATTAGGGGAATAGTTGGCTATGGGAAGTCAATGGAGTGAACATACTGGTCGATCCAATCTTGGTTGGAAACCTGGATTTTGGAATTCCTTGGCTTTATGATGCTGCCAAGAAGATTCTCAAGAGTTTCAAGGTACTGATCGTTTGTGTCCTTGTTGCTGTTTGTGATCCTGGGAATTTACATATTACTTGCATCATTTCAGCTTGAAGATCTTCCTGAAATTAACTGTTTACTGATCACACAAAGCCTCGATGATCACTGTCACTTGAAAACATTAAAGCCTCTTTCTGTAAGGTTGCCGAATCTCAGAGTCATCGCAACTCCTAACGCAAAAGCACTTTTGGATCCATTGTTTAACAATGTAAGTAAAGCTTTCATCATTTATTGAAATGCACATATTTTTGCCAAATCAAATGATTTGAAGAGTAGTAATATAGCTAAGCTAAATCTGCTTGGATGAAGTTGCAATTTGATGAAGATGATATAACCTGTGGATTATTTGACAACAGGAAGTAAATTAGACAGCCTATTGGTTCTTTCTGTCTGATTTGTTTTACAATATTTTAGATTACATACTTAAAACCAGGAGAGGCCTCAGAAATCCAGGTTACTGATTGTTCTTCAATTACAATTCGAGCTACTGCAGGCCCCGTTTTAGGTCCTCCTTGGCAGACTCCCGAGAATGGGTAAATTCTTTGACATATTACTCAATCAACATTCTTGATTCCCCTTTTGTGTCACTGCATAATCCTGTTAAATGTCGTCTGCTCCAGTTACCTTGTTACCTCTCCCAAAGGCCAGCTTACACTATACTATGAACCCCACTGTGTCTATAACAAGAGTTCCGTGGAGGAAGAGCGCGCCGATATTGTCATCACTCCTGTCATAAAGCAGCTCCTCCCAAATTTCACCTTAGTATCGGGGCAAGAAGATGCAGTCGAGCTTGCCAAGCTGCTCAAGGCCAAGTATGTCTCATTACTCTATCCGGACAACAATGCCATATATAACTCTTTTCCTTCTGCTTCTTGTCTATACAGATTCGTTGTACCAATGAAAAACGGTGATCTTGATAGCAAAGGGATTCTTGCCAGCATTGTCCGGGCTGAAGGGACCATGGAATCATTCAAGGTATTATTATCCACTTAAGCAAAACTTTGAAGCACCAATTATCGTTACAATCTCGTTCGCTGTGGTGCAGGAAATCTTGTCGAAACAAGTCCCAGACGTGCAAGTTCTTGAGCCTACACCCGGCGTCCCACTGGAAATTCCAACACCTGCAAATAGTTCATGATCCGGTTAGAATATATCTGTATGTAAAATTTGGACATCCTATGAGAGCTAGAACACATAAACAAGTGCTTCAGTTAGGACACTTATATGAGCTCTGTATTTTAGGTATCATCAAGAGACAATTTGGCAGAACCCTACACCAGGAGCCACATTAAGTTTCTACCCATCCTGCTGGCACCAATGTCATCTTTATTCTAAAATGGTATAGGTACAAATATAATCATAGTTGTTATTATTATCATTATTATTATGAAAAGAATCATCTATGAATAGGTTTATGGTTGCATGATGTTAATAGATGTTATTGCACAAATTGCAAATATATATTATAAATTAATCTGGATCATCCATGTTTGAGCGAGCAGGGCAAGAATAAAGTCGTCTTCTAATTTCAATTAGGAATCATTAATTAAACAGTACCCCTTTGACACAGACGAGTTCATATTCTCTATGGTCACAGAAGATAATATAAAAAAAGCAAAAGAACAACCAACTCTTATTTGACTAAAGAAATAGATGCTCGATCACGAACATGAATAAGTCTTTTTATAATTAGCAATTAATTCTCTTTACGTGATTTAGTACAATGACCCATGTGACCCTCCTGCCTGCCCTGATGGCAGACAGTGAATATTTATTACAGCAGCCTTCGGATTCGCAATCTCACTCATGAATAGATTAATTAGATCAATCTGGATGATAAGAATGAATGTGCACTTGGTTTATTCTTAAGAATTAAGAAGGGCCACTAAACCAATAGTCAAAGATTCTATCTAATTACGTGTTGAATGGTGCATATGGACGCAAAGGGTAACAGGATCCATGGTGTATATAATAATCATTCTTTATTTTGCCCACCATCCACAATTTCAAAAGAAAATTAAGGCATATTCACCTAACATCATGGTCTCTACTCTGTTAGGTCAGTGTGAAGCAGCCTGGCCTGTTTTATGTTGTGGGTATTTTTAGGCAAGAATATCTAAAACATAAACGAATCAAGTAAGTGTCAAACTCATTCATTCATTCCTCAAAGCTACAAGATACAAGGCAAAAACCTGTCACAACATAAACAAAGACAACATCAACATATGGTGTAATAGTATCCAAAATCTACTGCTCTGCTCGTGTTTGATATGGATGTGTTTATTATATGTTAATGAAAACTTTTGGCAGTTCCCAGTTAAAGGGTTGGCGTGGAGGAATGCTCGCCGCTGCTGCTGCTGCTGCCTCTATCGCCAGAATTAGTCGACTTGGTTTCTTGTTTCCAAGTAGTCGATGCCTCCGGGACAGATAAAGGAACTGCAGCAATGGGGGCATAAATTGCTTTAGAGGTGGTGGTGGTGGTGGTGGCGGCGGCGGTGGTAGCCATTGCAGTGTAGTCCGGTGGCATCCATATTCCTCCAGCCACAACAACAAATTGAGGTGTCTGTGTGGTGGTGGTGGTGATGTTATTGCTGCTGTGAATGGAAGGGTTCAGTCTTCTTGTATGCAGTCGATATTTCTGTAATCAATAAATTCCTAAAATTAGTAGGGCAATGGATTGTAGAAGTATTTTCATTACAGCTAGGATGGGATTAGGACAATCTTCTGTTACATTTTAAGATTAAATTCCTAGAAACTACACTGTGGTTGGGTCTTAGGATTTGTATGAGAACAGCTTCAACGTAAAGTGCTGGTAGAGTTTTTAAAGCTTAATTCTTCTACTTTACGCTTTGGCCTTATCATCATCAGTTGTTGTGGGGTTTCTATGTCTGTAGCCATCTAGGACCCGCAATCGAATAATACCTAATTTAAAGAATCTTATCCATAAAAAGAAAACCCAAAATCAATATCCAAGAACATTTTCAAGAAGATGAAATAAGATGCCATACCTGCAAATGGCTTTTAACCTCATCGTTGGTGAGTCCATCGACCTTCATTAAATCCCTAATCTGTTTAGGCGTAGCCGCTGGAATCGACATGCCATTATTAAGATAATTATTTTTTCTGTGAATAAATTTAATCTTATTCTACATATACATACAAACATATATACGTGTATGCACATGTGTGTATTTATTATACCTTGTGAGCCACCAAGTTGTTGAAGGGCTTGTAAGAATCTTTTGTGCAGCTCCGGCGACCAACACCGCCGGACTTTTCTCTCAGACGACTGCCCCTCTTTTCCTGATCCCTTCTTCTCAGCGCCGGTCTCCGCCGTGGAGCTGGTGGACGCCGGCGGCACTGACCGGACCTCCGGCTTCTGCGAGTGAGTGTCGCCTCTCTTCTCTTTCTTAAAGGGATGGAATGCACCGTTGTTGCCGTTTATCTTCTTCGCCTCCAAGAATGCAACTTTTTTTGGCGAACCCTAAATCCCCAAAGTTGGAAAGGAAAGAAAAGGAAAGATCAGATCACTTCTTTTTCTCAAATCTACAAAACCCCACATTGGCAATTAATTTAATTACAATTTTAGGGTGTTGGAGGGTACCTGTCGATGGGGTGGATCTGGTTGGCCTTGATTCCAAAGTTGCACAGATCTAAGCCAGTCTGCTTTCTTGCCATTCTGGGTGTCCATATTGATATTTGTATAATTTCTTGGCTTCTTCGAATCATGTTCTTCATCCTCAGAAGCTGAAGCCGAAGCAGAAGCAGAAGCAGAAGCAGCCCTCTTGATAGGGATAAACTCCTCCAGAACAGGCGCATCGCTACACGTCTGCTCCGAATTACACTCAGATTGCCCATGATATAATAAATTGCACTCAGTCGTCGTCCCAGACAGCTGCTGCTTGCATGCCTCAATTGCTGCACAACACCAAAATTAAATTAAAACGACCAAGACAAGAAAAATTAATATATATATATATATATATTGCTGCCTTCCTGCCTGCCTGCCCTTACCTTGCGTGACGAGGTCGAGACAAAAAGGGAGCTCGCGTTGAAAAACTTGAATCTTGCAACGCTCGGCCTCTAGGGCTTGGATATAATCCTCACAGTTCTTCATTTTCTGAATCTGACGATCACTGCTGCTGTTGATCATTGTGAAGAATCCCTAATGCTGTTTTGTGCTTTTCTTTGTCGTCTCCCTGAGCTAACAAAGATCGGAATCTGAGCTTAATCTGGAGATGGGTTGGGGACCAGACGTAAATGGGGGGAGAAAGCTCCAGTTTCGTCGAACGATGGAAAAGATACCCACGAGAAAAAAATGGGAATAAAAGGATCCGAGAAGAATCACCCGATCGAATAATAAAGTTTGGCTGCCAAGAAAATGCATCCAACTCTTAAACACACACACATACATACATATATATATACACACATATACGTATAGCTGAAAATTTACAGCAATGCCCTTCAAGTTCGTCCACGCACCCTCCCCTCGTTTTCAGTCGCAGTCGGGGCGTCGCGCACAGACGAATCTGTTTTTTATTCGCGGAGAGAGAGAGAGAGGGCAGTTTTGAATATTCGCCCGAGGATTCCACCATCTGGGCCTAGCTGGCCTCCCTGCTGTTGCTGTTCCTATTTTCAGATAAGATCGAGGATTTTTCATTACGTCCCCACATTTGAAGATATTTAATTTTCTGTCCACATTCTTTCAATTTCATTCCATTGTGCCCACATGAATTATCTTTCTACTACTTTCCTTTTATCTTTTCTCTCTATTTATTTCTACAGAAAAATATAATTTGGGTTGGTTGGTGGAATGTTCGATTCAAACACGAAAAGATGCAGCCTTTGAGTAAATAAAGGGCTATTTTGAAATTTTGTATTGTTGGCGTGGAACTTACATAAATACGGGAAAGTTGGTAGTAGAAGACGAGAAGAATCACGAGAGGGGACGAGGAAATTTGAAGAGGAATCTTCTACTTAAAGACACGCGCCACGCGCCTCAGCGCCGCGCGTAGGCATGGATATGGTTATTTGCTGTTTTGAAATCTTTAATGTTGGCCCTTCGCCTCTCCAAAGGATCAAGTCATATCTTAAATTTCTTCATCCTGTCGTACCTTGCACGGACCAATTATATCACGCCAACTTGGCATTATAGTGCCCCCATATGTATAGCACTGGGAATATCCTATGGTATTTTTTATTTTTTTGTTACATGCTACTATTATTTTATCATTTGATATTACTAATGAGAAAAAAAAAAAAAAAAAAAAAAGCATATCCTTGGTACATTGAATTTAAAATTCATTTAAATAAAAAATTAATTATATAATATTCTGAGTGAATAAATAATATTGAATATAAAGTTTTTAAAGATAGATAATAATTAAATAATATAAAATTATAAAATTAAATAGACATAATTTTAATTTCCTCAATATATATTTTAAAGTCAAAATATCGGTAAGGGAAAAGTTGCAAAATTTCAAAGTTTTATGGGCTTCAGGTGGCCCGTCGATAAATACATATTCTCCCCTTCCACCTTAAAAAAAAATAAAAATAAAAATAAAAATAAAAAAATAATAAATTATTATTTATTAAAAATGTCCTACTTCAGAGAAAATTGGTGGTGTAATTTATTACGGTATGGGCTGAGTTCAAGTCCTTCATCAAAATGGGCCTTTCAATGAATTATAGTGGCCTTTACTGTATTTGTCTAGTTTCTTTCACCTTCACTAGTGCCTTTAACACACAGTTTTTGAGTTGATAAAAATTTCCAAATGCAACAGAAAATAAAAAGAGAAGAAGAAACATGTACTAATTTAATTGTGAATTAACTAATTAATTTCAACAAAGTTGCTGATATATGTAACAGTAAGTTTAGTGATAAGGTTGGCAAGTTTGAGTGGTTGGCAATGGCAAGACAATACAAGAATGCTCTTTTTGTTGTAAATTTACTTTGTTGCGTCCTTCTTAAGGTGCTTTGTTCATCCACGCTCAATTGTGAAGCTATCAACATAACTAGTCTATTTTAAGGTATCTGACAAAGGCAGAGATTCGAAGATATTCCCCTACTCATATTTAGGATCATATATTAATCAAGAATCTGGGAAGACAAGACAATGGTGGAGATGATGATGAGATATAGAGTGAGAGACAATCAACATATGTAATGGCTCAAGAGAAAAAGGGAAACAAAGGGCAAAAGATTGATGCAGCCTTGCATGCCCAAATCAATCTATGTATATATGTATATATATATGTCTGTATGTATATATGAAGAGATAGAAAGAGAGGAAGGGGACATGCAATATTATAATTGAGGGATGGATGGAAAGAAAGCAAGCAAGCAAGCAGGAAGAAGGATAAAGAGGAGAGAGATAATTATGAGGGTGGAATTGAAAAGGGAGGTAGAAAGGCCTTGACAGGATGGTGACACTGTGCAATATGTAAGCCCATATGGTGTTGGTATATGGGTGGGGGGTGGGGGTGGGGGTGGGGATGCTGTTAAAGAAGGTAAGCACAGTGCGGTCTGAAACATGTTATGTAGCATCTGTTTGTTGTTTGTCTGAAAAGGTAAAAGAGGTAATCAATTCCCTTTGGGTGAAACCCCAAAAACAGAAACTCCCAGTGGTCCATTGTTACCTGCTGACAAAAACTAGGGCTCCTCATCCTCATCCTCCTCCATCACACTGATAGATACATACATACGTACGTACATATCTATATATATTGTAGTAGTAGTAGTAGTAGTAGTAGTTCTTTGTCTAAAGCTAGGCGAAAGGGAATTCCTGAGAAGAATTGAAGAAGATAGGTGGATTAAAGTGGGGTGGGGTGGGGGAGGAGTAGTAGTAGTCTCACTGACTCCTGTCTTTTAGTGTGTGTGAGTCCAAGAAACCTTTTTTGTGAGTGAAAGAAAATCTATGGCGAAATGTGAAGGTAATGAACAGTAGATTTCTGAGACTGTACGTACTGGCTCTGATCTGCAGACTATGTCTGCAGTTTCTGCTTCTTCTATTTAATTATTTATTTATTTATTTTCTTCTCAGTCGGCTGAATTCACTTGACCAGAGCATGGAGGAGATCATAAATCATATATGCACTCCCCTCCCTCTCACTTTCTCTTCCATTTCTTCCATTTATTTGAATCGGAGCTGGAATTCAAGATCTCGCTTTAATCAGATGGTAATTAATTGAACTGCCACTTCTAACATTAATGCATACGACCATGGCTTTCACTATCCTATTTGTCCTCTCCCTCTCCCTCTCTCTCTCCCCCTCTCTCACTCTCCTCCATAAAACGCAGACAGACACACGCTAAGTGCCAAAACAGTCACCACTAATCATCCCCAGTTGGTAAGATACAGAGAATTGACACTGGAACTAATTAATTAGAAAAGATCCCTACCTACCTAGCCAGCTACCTAGCTTCCCTCTTCGTCATCCTCCTCCTCTTCCTCGAGTTCTTCTTCGTCCAATGCAAACGTGCCATGGTGATCACTATAAGAGTACAAATTTTCGTTGTGCGGGGCATGGCCTTGTCCGAATGCCCGAACATGATCCTTGAGCGATCTCTTGTGCTTGAAATCCGACCCGCAGATGCAAAACCACAGCTTCCCGCAATTCTTCTCGTGCGTGCGCCAGTCTCCCCTCACCGCAAATGGCTTCCCGCATTTCCGACACCCGAACGGCTTGTTTCCGTGCTTCCGCCTGTAGTGGGTCTGAAGCGTCCTGAAATCCTTCAATGGCTTCGACCTCGGATGCTCTATGTTGTTCTTACATCCCTCCGCGCAGCAGTAACATGGCAGCCTCAAAATTGACGACGCTGGCTTCGTTCCCTTGAGAGATTCAGGGCCCTTTCTGTATTCCGAACCATGCCCCCACATATGCATCTACACAAGAATCAATAATCAGGATTAACCATGGCCCAACACTAGTTGTAATTTTTATGTTTGGGAATATATAATTCAATATGAAAGTAGAATTTGGATGTGGAAACATATATGAACATATGCACGAGGATCGAATCATCAGATACAAATTCGGAACCCTAATTCAGAACCACGAGTCTACGAACCCTAATTAATATTAATCTCTGGCAACATCTACCTTGAAATAGAGAAGATGGGGTTTTGACGAATAAGAAATTAATGGAGGTGGACAAGAATAACAAAGATGCACCATATCAAGAACCTGCATATTGTTGTATCTATTGAAGGTTTTGCTGCACACAGAACAGGAAAACTGCGTGGGACCAACAAGGATCTGTGCCGGGGTTGGGATCCAATATTGTCCCTGTGCAAGACCCGCCATTTCATTAGGGTTCCCTGAAGCTGCAGCATCCGGTGGGCCAATATGGAGAGCCACTGTCACACCATTGTTCTCCTCTTCCTCCTCACCATTAGGGTTTTCCAAATTCTGGGCGTGCTTGTACGCCGCGAAGCTCCGGTTGTACTTCCGACGCTGGTGCTGACCGGGAGGGCAAAGAGACAGCAAAGTGGAGCAATATTCATCGTCTTCTTCATCAGCTCCGAAATTGCAGAGGCTGTCGCTGGTAGAAACATATGGGTTGTGAGTTTGCATGGTAATGGCGGGGGTGCAGCAGTTTCCAGAGGATTCAAACAAAGAATGTGCATAGAGAGGTTTTGGAGGGCAGCACGGATTGATCATGAATAATTCCAGTGGGATTTTGTTTGAGGATCGGAGGAGTGCACGTGGAGAGTGGGGAGATGTATGAACAGGATATGGATTTTGGCTGTGTGTGGATTTGGAGGAGACAAAGGGACAGATGCTAAGAAGGAGAAGGGTGGGGAAGCCAAGAGAAGGGTAGGGTGCGAATGCAAATGCTATATAATTATGAATGCATAGAACGCTGCACCAAACCTTACATATACTGTGCTTTGCTTTTATAGATCCAAACCTCACTATACACTCTTTACACTATTTCACCAACATTAATCTGGCCATGCCATGAATTAAAAATTTGTTCAATTTTATCTTTCTAGATATATATAATATATATATATATATACTGTGTTAGAGATTAGAGTAAAAAACCTCTCCCTCTCTCAGGCATATAGCATTGGACATATATGGTTTGCATCTCACAAACCACACTGCTCATTTTCCCAAACATGGCCTTTTTGAAGCCATTGTCATTTCAAGTTGTTTTTACTACCTGAACTCTCTCTCTCTCTCTCTCTCTCTCTCTCTCTCTAAAGGGAACACCAGACATATGTATACAATATCTTTATGTATTTGTAAATGTATGCGTGTCATGGAAAATTAGGTGCCCTAATTGAGAAGTGATCTCCTTTTTTCCACTTTTGTCATTAAAGAAGGAAAGATGGGGATTTGTTGGTGGAAAATGTTAGGCTGCATATAGCAATCCACGGAGCCATATCTGCGTCTATCTATCTAACACAGGAATTAAAGTTGCATCCATGTAATGTTTCTTTAATTTGTCTTTTATAAAGATTTGTATTATTCTCACTAGGAACATTATCTATAAATACACAATTATGTATTCCATGCATGTAACAACAATAATGTATGGGCGTATATGTTTTAATTAATAAGATCTAAGAGCATTTTCTGAGGCATTCAAAGTTTAGATCACTCAAAACTATTATTCAAAGCCTGTGATCAAGAATTCCTTACACACATGAACATATATAGATATATATTATATATTAATTGGCATGATTTGACAGTGCATAAGGGAAAATAGCTAGGTCACAAAACCCTAGAAAAACTGTCAATTGTTTATGAAATTAGTGGAAATGTATCAAGCCCCTGTTGTGTAGCTCACAGGTCAATTCTGTTATGGGGAATCAAATCTACACAAATTACAAACACTAAGCTGTAAGAGGGAAAAAGCCTGTAGGATGATTGATGAGGTAATTTCAACATCCACTTTGATAAAGGAGAGGTCACATTCAATTACCATGAAATAGAAATCTTTTCTTGATCTCATTATTTAAGACATGCATCCACATTAAATATATATAATTATATTCTTGTAATGTACACACGGGTTTATATATATATATATATATAACACACATATATTATGTAATCGTTTCTCTAGCCAATAAAAGCAAGACGACTTTAAGTTTAATTAGTTGTCACAAGAGAATTAATAAGTTCTGCTGATCAAGGACCACAAGATCGATGAAGAAAAACAATATCCACTGATTAATAAAGTTTAATGATATTTATGAATTGGGTTTTGTTCATTACAAATCCCACATCCCAATAAAATACAATCGAACACATGCACGCCACCTGGATATAAAATTCAAACCTGAAAGATGTGAATAAACACATCAGCAGTGAAGCAATAATTAATGACTAATTATGAAATACAAGAAATGGAGAGAAGAGGACAAGTAGAGCAGTGTGTGTCAATATATATGTGTACATATATATATATACACACACATATTAAGTTGAATGCAGAAAATAGGTGAAGACCTACATAAAACGCAGGGACCTAACTGGAAGTTGCTCTCTACAAAACCCCCAATTCTTGTCAGTAGTCTGCATCTTCTTTAATAATAAAAACTGGAGACAACATCTGTGATTTCTCTGAGTATATCTGAGCAATGCCAAATATTTATCAGTTCCACAAATTTCTTCAATAAAATATGAAACGACTTGAGCTGGAATTTGTCATGAAGTTAAAAAGAAGCAAATATTGGTGGGAATAATTATTGGGCCAGACTCGTGTATCCATTTTGGCCCAATATAGTAGGAAATTCTTCGGCCCCTTTAAATGGCCCAAGGTAATGATAAAAAGTACCACGTTTTTATTATTATTATTATTATGTTCCATTATTTAATAGTGTCAATTGTGATAAGCATACGAGGAAGCCACGTAATGAAATATTGATATTTTTGGAAGGAGAAAGGATTTTCGAGAAACGTGGCAGTACATGATGAATAAGGAACTGATCAACAGTGAATCATTACAGAGTTTGAAAAGACACCAAATTGATTGTTTTTTTTTTTTTTTTTTTTTTCTCAGAAATTTCTCTCCACCAAAAACACCACTACTAGGTCAGCTACCTTGCTACTCTTCCTTTTTGTCTGATTACTGTACATTTCTGGAGTATTTATTTTCATCTGCACTCGTGTCTTTCCATCGCCAGATGAAACGAATCCACACCGTTCATTTACCAGAAACGGTGCAGATCCTCCACCTGGCCCCGGGGTACCTGCCCCTCCCAAATACTAAATCGGCCATAGAAACACCCAACTTCTCTTCCAATTCCCCAATGGAAGACATGTTACTTATACAAACAACTTTAGAAAAACTTGTCATCAAGAACAAAAACATGAAAACAAGAACAAATTACTGCTAAAATCTAAAACCTCCAAACTAAATTAATTAATTAATGTCACAAGGGATCCACAACCCTTTGCTTCTTCCTGCAATCCAACCCCAGAAGCTCTATTTCACGCATCCTCTTACCGCTGCAGCTATCAATGGCGGCGCTATCCCCGCCACTCCCGGGACCTTGGAATATGTTGACTCCAAACAACCTCACAACGGGCTGGACCCGGCCCGAAAAGGCGACGTCACTCCTCCCCTTCCAGTCAATGTAGAGCTGCTTGTCCGGGCCGGTGGATCTCTGAAAACACACAATGTCTCCGGCCCGCAAATTCTTCTCCTTCACAAAACGGCTCCAACCTTTGGTCAGGACATAACTCTGGCTGCTGTTCCAGTACGAATATCGAAACCTCCAAACCTTATTCCCACCATCTTCGAAATTCAACAAAACCCCTTTCAGCGAGTTGCCGCTCTGTAAAGGGAAATGCTTTTCCGCGTACTGTTTGGGGATGACGAGTCTGTTCAGCTTCCCGACGTCGCTGGGCGTCACTGCCTTCTCGAAAAGATGTTCCCGGGCATTCGCCGCCCTATCGCCGCCGGCGTTGCAGAGGCCGCCACCCCTCCCCGTCCTCCTCCCGCCGTGGTTCCTCCGGCCCTGCTCCAGCTCATCATTGTATGTGTGCTTCCTGAGCATGTCCACAATCTCAACCTTGGAATGGGAGTTCAAGAACGCCGCTTCGAATTCGTCCCCCGCCTCCGACAACTGCTTGAAGTTTGTAACGGCGTCGCGGCCGCGGTACCTCTGCGCCGCCGTGTCGTACGCTTTGGCGGCTTCTTCTTCTTCGTTGAAAGTTCCCAGCCAAACCCTCTGGTGCTTCTCGTAGATCTGCGCCCCCCATCGCCCATTCGGCTGAGGCACCACGCCCTTGAATCTCGACGACGGCAGCTTCCTCGATTCCGCTTCTAGCGAGTCTGTGATCACGCTCGTCCCGCTTCCGGCGCGGCACAGCCGATTCTCCTGCTGCTTAATCGCCGCCGCCGCCGTGGGCGATAAGGACTCGCTAGTTGTGCTTTCTTCTGCGCTGCTTCCATCCATTTTTATTTATTATATATATATTTATGTAGTCTGCGATTAATTGGAAAGCTCCAAAGATGGGAAGTCAAGCTTGCTGAAATTAAGATGTATAAACTTCAAAACTAGGAAATGAGCTGTTTGTACCCAAGGCAAAGGGGGTGGGTATATATATAACTATATATAGATGTAGATATAGATAGATACAGATAATAGTAGTAATAATAATAATAATAATGTAATAATGCTAGAAAACAACTGGAGAGATTTCCAATATGATTAACTGTGAGATAATAGAATAGGGTTTCCTACTCCATTTCTTTCCCAAAAAACAAGAAAAGGAACGAAAGTGTGTGGGTCAACTGGAGAGGGATTGTAAGGAGCGGGGAAGATTCACGAGTGGGGAATCAGTGTGTATTCATATGCATGTATGGTGTGTGCTCTGTGTGTGTGTCTGTGAAATATATATATAATGAATACGAAGAGGTAGCAGCAACAGCAAGTTGATGGGATTCACATGACAGTGGTGGTCCTTGTTTCGGTAAGTTCATCCCCCCACAGCTTTGCTGCTACTGCTGACTATGTTTGCATATGATTTTCATTCTTGCACGGTCCTGGGACTTCCACTCCGGGTACACCCACACCCATCTGCGGGTGGTATTGGTGTTCCGCTCCCTGGACCTTCTGGGATACCTAAAGTCGGTAATGAAGCATCAGCATCATCAGATAAGATGGATGGGCATTGTGTTGCATCGTGGGATCAAGGATAGAGAGGAAGAGCCAGCCAGCCAATCCAGTGCCACGAATATTCCACGTGGAAAGTCGTACGTGGCGTGATTTTATTGGTTCGCTCCGTACTACTGCTGCTACTACTAGTGGCCTGGTTTTATTTAGTCTATCTGAGGAACATTTTTGTCACATTTTCCACCCAACATTGACAATTTCCATTTTTTTTTTTTTTTTTTACGACTTAACTCATAGTTGCTATTCGATAGTGCGCACTAGATAAATTTTTGATCGAACCTAATACCCTGCAAGCCAAGTTCGACGGAAAAGTCACACTAGGCGAACCATGTGTGGCAGGTGACCTGAGACGTTGGAGGTTTGAACCTATGACCGTTCAACCCCTACACCACCAGGCCATTCCTTACGGGACACAATTTCCATTCCCTTTCTCTACGTGTTGTGTGGTCCATTTAATCCACACCTAAATAATACTTACATACTTATATAAATTCCCATATTACACGATAAACACTTCAAATGATAATCCTAAGTTTAAAAAATATATATACTCCCTCCGTTTTATAAATAAATATTTATTTATTTTTTCACGTAGTTTTAAAAATATTAGTATTATATTGGGATATAGTATGAATAAAGTAGAAATGACTAAAATAATTTTATTAGTATGTATGATATAAAGGTAATGATATTTGTGTAATATATCGTAAGTTGTAAGGGTATTTGTAATGTTAGGTAGATAGTATATTTACTAAAAAAAGAAAATGAATACTTTGTTATGAGGTGAACTAAAATGGAAAAATGGATACTTTATTGTGGGACGAAGGGAGTATTACTGTTATTCTAGACCGCTTGAGGCGTGGCGCGCGTGTGCATATATATATATATATATATATATACACACACATTCAAATCAAGAATGGCCACTGAACTTTGTCTTAAACTACACATGAATATGATGTCTCTTTTTGTGCATACGGTTCATCTAGACAATACCCTCCAACCTCCTCTTGTTTTTATAGAATTGGTATTCAGCTGAAAATTGTGGGCTGCTAAACCACCCAATAATTTAACATATATATAATATAGATATAAAATAAGCTATGTACGGGCAACACTGTTTAATTTAAGGTCCCAATTAGGCCAAGTTGAATGAAGCTAATAATATAGCGAAAATTAAACACAAATTTAATGGCACCTTTTTCGCCTGAGGAATTTTGAAGGTTGTTCTTGATGGACCCCACCCAAAACCCACCACCTCACCCCACCCCACCCCCCCAACTACCACAAATAATTTCCTCAATAAATTCGTGGTAGTCCATATGCATGTCGACTTTGCGCAACATTTGAACCAGCAAATTTCAGGCCGTGTTGCAATAAATACACAGCATTAAACCAAGAGAGACGACTTAGAATTGTACTACTGGCTAGTGTGGATTATTAATTTCCTGCTGGGTTATTTTTATTTTATATAAATTAATTTATTTTTTAGTGAATAAATTGATCTTGTGATTAACTTAATCAAAAACAACTGATGTGAATCATTACAAAATAGTTTTTTCCAGTGGGAATCACATGCCCATGCCCATGCCCAGCCAGCCAGCCAGCGGACATGTTTGGCAAAGTCGTGTTACGTCACTGATGATATTATTCTAGTTGCAAAACACGTTAGCTATGACGTGGCAGACAATCACTGCTCTAATACCAATACAAATGTCAATTTAATTTCATGCACCCTGAACATGTATCCGTATAATATTACTAATTTCCCATATTTAAATATTGTTATACTATATTAATTTAATTTTTAAATGCATGCTGGGAATTATCAAATATCAACTAAGGCGATGGAATCAAAGAAAGCAGCCTGTTTTTTTAAAAAATTGAATCCCATATGTCTGCTGCTTTTTTTGCAGTAATTTTATAATTAAAATGGTATGTAAGATTAATACACGGAATCTGGATTACACTTTAATTTGAACTAAAATCGGGATTAGAATAGATAAATTAATTACTATATTGTTTAAAAAGTTGAGAAGCTTCTTCTAGGTGATGCTTTAATTTGATTAATTTTATATGCCGACATGGACGAAGACCCAGCCTTTCGGGTCAACCCACGTGGTCCAATGATCAGTTGTAATACATTACTACATAAATCTAAAAAGCTTCATTATTTTATTTTCATGTACATATAAGACATCAAGAAAAATTACTAACGAAAAATTATTGTTAGGAAAAATAAAAAAGAGTTTAATTTTAATAACCCCCGAGTCAAGCATGTAAGAACATTTTATGTTGCCCAATTTACACACAAATATGGTCTAACAAAATTAATTCACTCATCGACCACGACCAATCGTAGACTATTCTGCAGATTTTTAATTATTACAGAAAAGAAAAAATAAATTTGGTAAAAAGAATCATTAATTATATGTGTGACAGTGAAGAAGTTTCAAATACACGAGACAATGGTTGGTTAGCTAGTAGCTATTTTAAAATAATTTATTATTCGACTGTTGTAACGAAAAGATGGAAATAAATAAAATTTTAAAAATAAAAAAAAGGATGGCTGGGATTCAATATTTTAAAAATTAAGGGAGATCGATGGAGCAAGTGGAGAAAAATAATACATAGTGAGGCCAAGTCGATATTGTTGACTGACTGACTGACTGACTAGGAAATTCTTGATGTAATTATTTTATTTTATTTTATTTTCTAATATGGACCACATCCAATTCTCTGTCATCCACATAAATCATCCCATTGGTTGAGAACTACTCCCAGTAATAATAATACATAGTTTGATTTTTCAAAGGTTATCCTAATTATTCTATACTGATATCTTTTAATCTATCTTAACACCCAAATAACAATTATAATTAACGATAATTAAATAATTCAATCGACCCCTCTAACATGCGTTTCCTTAACGGTGTAATCTAATTTGATAATCATATATTTAAAAATAACAAGAATGGCAATAACATCAGATGCTTTTTGGTAACTAAAGGGAAAGTTTGGTAATAAAATAAAATAAAATAAAATAAAATGGTCCCATTATGGGATTGAATTTTGGGATGAAGATAAAGGGGCACAAAAATACAATTATAGGAAGTCAACATCTTTAAGGCAACTTGGGTATGTTGCAGTTGGCAGCTATTTGTGATTTTTTCAAAATTTCAGTTTTTAAAATAATTATTGGAGTATTATTTTTGTTTTTTGTGCATTCATTTTCATCATAATTCTCCTTTTTCTTGCAACCTTAGCCTAATTTCTACATCAATTCCCATGCTGATGTGTATATATTGTTCATGTTGCCCATCCATCACGTGTCTTACCATTATATATCATTTGTTGCTGGCCGTTGATTCATTGTTTTTTTGTGTGTGTGTGTGTGTGTGTGTGTAATCCTCCAATAATCAATTTTCAAATATATATATAATAAATGTGAAATGGTTAATGAAGGGATAGACTCAGTACATGTAATTTGATATTCACCCATTAAATTCGTTTGAACAATATAGTACATCAATCAAATATATAAATATTAATATTACTTGTATATTATTGGATGGATATATTTAATTAGGTGTAAGATATTTCTTAGATATCACAAATATCAGATAGAAGATTTGGTTCAATTATTTAAATGCGTAGAAAAATGACAATTCTTTGAGGAACACACATGCGATTAAATAGATTATTAATCATTTATACGTTTGACCAGGTCCACAAAAGTGAAATTAATATCTAACAAATTTAAAATTGCGTGAATTGAATTTATAATTATTTAATTGATTGATGCTTTCTGCTCTATTTGATCACGGGGCACGCACTCACATTCACACACAGGAAAATAAATTCTTATTATTATTATTATTATTATTATTTGGATAATTTGTGCAACTTGGTACAATTTAACAGCTCATTTCTACGTGGCTTATTTTTCATGCAGCGCATGAACCTGTATTTTATAGAATTTGTCAAGTGAATACTTTATATATAAGTCTGTCCAAATGAAAAATCTATATATATATATATATATATATATGACACCTCAAAAAATTTAAACCCTAAATTTAATGATTCAATTATGATATATACAAAAGTTGCTTTTCGTCTAGATGAATGAAGAGTTCAACTTTCAACGTATTTTTGCTGACCAAAATGGCAAAATCAAAGAAAAGTTAGTACGATATATTTAATAATTGGATTGGACGTGTCGGATAGTTCAAGAAATACTATTAGCTACTTAATTTCATGCATTTACACTAGTCTAAGATATATAGGATAATAATTAGTTTTTATGTGGCTATCTCAACGTTGACGTGGCACAATATAACTCACTTAAACTAGTAGAATAATGTTCAACGTAGATTATAATTAATTCTAGTATACTTGTTTGCCATGCTCTTTTCAAATACATTGTCATTGGTAACTTCAATTTGTTGGTAACAAATTATTTTTTATTCTGTCCGAAGCTGAATGCTCGTCTTACTTAAAAGTTCAAACTTTTAGAGAAATGGTCATTCAGCTTACGACATGGTATCAGAGCCAAGCTAGGTTTTGAATTCGAGTTTCATCGTCCTTATTTGCGCGTATATGTATGTGCAAGTTTCACATCCCTTCATTTATACCTGAGGGGGCGTGTTGTCTAAAAGAATCTAATAATTTGTTGATGTTGAATTTACTGG